CTTGAAAGAAAAAGGGTCCACTGCAATGATTTGCCCCAGGCCTCCACTCGCCAGTAGTCCATCCTATAACACATCTAAGAGGTGCTATCAATTAAGCACATATATTTATATGCACTTTTTTGAGAATTTTTTTTCAAACTTCCGTGTGGATGAAATCACAATAATGGATAATACGTAGAATCAAAATGAAGAAAAAGAACTGAAGAGGGATTTTTGGTAGCCATGAAAGTACAAGAAACAGATCTTTCTCTGGATTTTTGCTGGCCATAAGTTCCTCATGTGTTCTATATCATTTTCGTAATCACCTAATGATGACTCAAATTCCCCACACGTTCACGTTGTATCTCTCTCTTTCTCTCTCTCTCTCTTCCCTCAATAGGGCTACTATCAAGGTCCTATGTATATGAGATCAAATCCTACTTAGTCATCAAAATTAAGAAGGAATTAAGAAGGTGATCACGGAGAGAAATAGATCAAAACTTATGAAATCCACATATAATATAATCATATGTATATATTTGTCTCTGTCATTAAAATCTCAAGGTACGTGCATACCTATATGTTGTTATTTCACTGTATAATAAACAAATAAATAGAATAAAGTGATGATCACCTGTTTCCCCACTTGGCATGCAGTTCCATAATCAAAAGTTGTTCCTCAGGTGTAATATTGCCTCTCCTAACATCAGGCCGCAGATAATTTAGCCACCGGAGCCGGCAACTCTTCCCAGTACGTTTGAGACCTAGTGACATAATATACACCTCCTAGTGACATATACATAATATGTATGTAGTTTGAAAATGATTAAAAGGTTCTAGCTAGGGTTTTGATTTTATGTTAGATACTAATATTTAGAGATCAAACATGTTATACCAGCAGCTTTGGCTAGGGAGTTCCATACACCTTCACCGTGATTTGCAATATAGTTGATCAGAATCAAATCTTCTTCCATGGTCCATGGCCCTTTTCTCACTTCAACATCCTGGGATGAACTATTGCATGGCTTTTTATCCATCTTGTCTGTGTGATTGTGCGTTTCTGATAGAGAAAAGAGAGAGAATGAGAGAGAGAGAGATGAGAGATGAGAGAGAGGGGGAGAGGGGGAGATGGAGAGAGAGAGAGAGAGAGAGAGAGAGGGCAGTTAGGCAAGATAATAAGAGATAATGGGGTAGCTGGGGGTTTTTATAGAGGGAGAGCAAAATATACTTCCCCAGTTATGTTACTGTATTTAATCGGCATTGGAGTAGAGAGATTTTAATCCAACTGGTTTGATTAATTATATAATCATGTATATTGTATGCATGATCATCTATACTTAATAATCTCTCCATGTCGCTAGCGAACATAAACACATCCACTCCTACGTAAGCATATATATATGTATATACTAAACAATAAAACAAAAAAAAAAAAAAAAAAAAAGAAAGAAAATTGTATCCCAGAAACACGTGTGTATAACTTGAGGTAAAGGAAGTTAATTTAAAAGGAGCATATGTATATCTCAAAAAAACCAAACAAACATATGTATATGTACATATAGAGAGAGAGAGAGAGGAGAGAGAGAGAGAGAGAGAGAGAGAGAATGTATGATTCGAGAGTTGGAGCACTCATACGAACCAAAGCTCGCACTTGAACATTTTGTAAAATATATCTACACATGTCTATGTGAAAATTTATTTAAGGGAAGACGAGTGTGAACGTTGTGGTTTGAACAACGCCGCATGTATTGGTTTGAACGACAACGCATGTAAAATTTCGTACTGTGTGGATAATGCATGCATGTGCGCCCCAGTTGGAAGTTGATGAAGATAGCCACCAGAGCATGATGAGATGAGGTGACATAATCTTGTTGATTTCACTGTTTTTACCAGTTGCTTAGTATTAAACTTGTGTTTCGCCAATTTCTACATTATATATTTTTATAAAATTTTGAATCCTGTTAAAATCTGGACATTGTTAATTTCTCCGCGTTCAAGTCGGGACCCACTTTCCCTCGCTACTCCTACAGTCTACTGCTAGCTTGGCGCCCTAGAGAGCCTCTCTTGCGATGTTTTCTTCTTTTGTCGGGCAGGCCTAAACCTCTATTTTTTAACAAAGGCCCACTTCAATAAGGACACCATTTCATTAATTCTTTTAAGTTTAAGCAACAAAATTCTTATTCATATCTCATCCCAACTAGAAATTGGAGTTTGAATGTAAGATTTTTTGTATGCAAGTCGAGGTTCTTTTTCATTAGGCTAGACCCCATTAACAAAATTGTATAAGTATTTAAAACACGTAATGTTGAATATCAATTCTCCCATGTTATTGCAGTCATAATCAATTTATTAGAATCATGTCCTAAGTTTAGTAAAATTTTAGCTAGGTCACTCATACCATTCTTGGATCTCGCGGACCGGCCATCTTTTTGTTGGATCTTGTTGTAAGTTCAAATCTAACAAGTCTCTAATGGGTTCTTCTTTATTCTTCCTTTTACCACCGATAATAAAACAGCTTGACCTACTCATATAATTGTATGAAGAAACCTTAAAAATATATATATATATATTAGTCAGGAGGAACTTAAAAAATGATACAACCTGATAATTTCGCAAACCTTAAAAACGTTTTGAGATAAAAGTATTCATATTTATCAAAAACGTTTTATTCCACTTCTCATTCTAGTACTGGAGAAATTGTAAAACACATCATAAGTTATATATATCGTGTTAATTGAATAATTTGACTGACCGAATAAAAGATGAATAATCCATTACTACTAAAGAGGAATACGTTGTTTCTCATCCGTACATGCATGCTAGCGTATAAAGTCAAGAGGAGGAGAGGACAAATTGGCATATTCTTAATCAATCTAAATTAAATACCTAACCAGCGTAGTATTAGCCACTCATTATATGTCTAAATAAGAAAGTCTTCTCCCCCCAACCCCACGAAAACCTTACATATATGTACTTATTATTTGACACTTCCTGCAAAAGTCGTACGGAAGCATTCTACATTTAGAAACCCATGTTGTTGTGGGTTTGTGGCCCTCCATGAGATCAAGACGCGTATATATACATCGATTCATGGTTATCAATTATCTCATACACACGAACATTAAAGTTTACACGTAATTTTTATACGATATCGATAAACAGTTTTCAATCGTTGCATAAACAATTGACATTAAAACTACTAGTGGAAGTATTAACAAAGAAGAAAACAAGTTAGACTGATCAGCACCGTCGTAATTAATACAAAGAATAATACAATGCATATATACATGTATATAGTAATTGGGAAGATCCTTGTAGTTGGGAGATACACGTACGTCTGCTTTTGTTTCTGAATCAGAGAAAGTTTGGACAGAATCAAGTGCTCAAAGAAAAGAGGATAAGGGGTTAGTGGCCAGCCTGGCCAGGAGGTTGTTTGAGCACCACAATGATCCTTTGATTTAGAGCACGACATGTGATCACAGCTAACAATCTGAGTTTTGGGCCACTAGTTTTGCCACCCCACTCACAAATGAAAATATAGGTACTTAATCTCAGCCACGAGATTGATTTTGTTTATGTGGCTGAGGTCAAGGATTAATGAGCTAGCTGTCCTCAGCCATAAAAGGAACAAAGACAAACTCACATTGTGGATTTGATGGTGCTTCTCTTTTTTACAAACCTCACCACTATCCATTAGGTCTTGTGTTGCCATAAGATTGATGGGATTTCATAGATTTTTTCAAATTAATTAGGTTTGGATGACAGCAAGTTTCATTTATATGTTAACTCACTTATGGCTTGTGACTTGTCAATTAAGTGTTAACATGGCAAGTAAGATCGCTTTCCTGGCCAAATCTTGTGCAGGTATGGAGATAAAGATAAGTGTTAGCTTAGATTCTTAAGAAAAATAAATTTTAATCTTTAAAGGATATATGATTTTACAAATATAGACTTAACCAAGTTGGCTAGAGCAGATGTGCTCTCCACTCTGCGCTCGAGTTCGAATCCCCGTCCCTTTAAGATTAGATTAAAGTAGAATATCGCTTGTATAAATATACGAGTTTTTCTATAAATAAAAAAATTGGCACTGTATGTTTTATTTATTAAAATTCAAAAAAATGAAATTTTGTTATAATTTTAAAGATGAACACATTGTCAATTAAAACTTTAAATGATAAGTCATTAAGAAAAAAGGCATTTGTAAATATTTGTAAGAGAAATTAAGCATGAGACAAGAAAGTAACTCGAAATCGTTATCCGGACCAGAGACAGGAGACTCAGGAGGAGAGAATGGGCCGACTTCTTTAGCTCTCTTCTTATTATAATCGAAGAAAAGAGAGCCAGAGCAGAGAGCCTCTCTCTTGATATCTTTTCTTTCTGTGATTACAGTGAGCTTGAAGCCTAATGGGCTAGCAAGTTAGAAGTAGAGCCCACCGTACAATACAATTGGGTTTTGAGAACAGACTTCACGTCGGGTTTTGAATCCATATACCCATTCAGGGCCCAAAAGAGTCTAAAGATTCGAAGAGCCCAGAAATGAAGCACATGTGAAGTGCCGGCCCTATTGCACCTGAGTTTAATCCCCTCCCCTTACTCTATTGCACCTTAGATTAATCCCCCTCCCTGCACGTTAGATTAGTTAGAATATCACTCTTTCAAAAAGAAGAGCCAAGAAATGAAAATCCAGAGGGGTTTACTTAGCCAGGAAATTAAAGTTATAGAGTATCAACCAAGGATTATTGACACTCAAACATGCGAAAATACAGCCGCGCATGATCTCTAATTATGTTTTTCTTCTTTTTAACTTCAAAATTTGATGTTTTGGTCGAAACATGAAGAGCAGACAATTGAAGCAAACACGATAAAAATAAACTTGGCTCATGCGTCAAAATGATTGTCACAACATAGCAACTTCGTTTACAGCTAAACATTATAGCTAGAGTAGCAAATACACACATGATTTCTGACAACGTCTCGCCAAAACATTCTGCTATTACAACATTCATCGAAATAAAGGAAAACTATCCTCCCCAGAATCTCCAAGTCAAGCAACCAAACTCCTTGACCTTGACTCTCATGCCTGTAAATTAACAGAGGGAGGGTTGTCAGAAATATAGAATCGAAAGAGTCATGCAGACACAGCAAATATGGATGGTAATTGAAAAAAACCATTGTTAATGTAATTCGTCCAACATTTAAGAATGCTGCGTAGTAAAATACTCCACAAATTAATACCATGATCTGATACTCTTACTAAAATAAAATAAAATAAAAAACATAAGTTGGGAAAACTTGCCTTGCTAGCAATGTTGTTGGAAAGCCAGTCTAACCCCTCGTACAGACCCTCTCCAGAGGTTGCACAAGTGCTCTGGATGTACCTGAAAAACAGCAATATTACCAACAATACTTCAGGCCAAATTTTTCTATCCTCAAAACCATTATATCTAGTATTCAACTTTGTCCAGTATCTTCACATGACATTCAAAAAAATCTCATTCCAAATTTCTTAGTTGTTTAGTTTGAACCATCCATAGCTAACTCAACGTGCCACAGAGTTTTCAATACTCCTAGCTCCTATCTAAGAGAAACTAATTAGTAAAATTTCCCATGATAAACAAATAATGCCAAATTTCAGTCTCAGCCATTAGGCTAGCATCCTATTCAATTTGATCAACCATATAACACAAATTAACAAAAAGTCATGGTCATAACTGATGTTCAATTCAATTATGAACTAACAGTTGCAGGGTGAAAATTAACAAAATAATTTACCAGTGACGTTGGCGGAGAGAATGAAGACCAAGCTTATCAGTTATTTCTGCGGCATTCATTGCATTAGGAAGATCTTGTTTGTTGGCAAATACAAGCAGAACAGCATCCCTCAGTTCATCCTGAAACCATATCAAACATTTAACTTCAAAATCTAGTGCCAAGAGTTATGTGCAACTGTTGCATCCTAAACAAGGTTCAGATCACTTTCAGGGAATGTAAACAGAGCTATATCTTAATACAAATGAAGCAACCAAATAAGGGAATGGACAAATGCAACTTTGGGAAAGTATGTCACAAACCAAACCAAACCAAAACTTACCAGGCCAAAAAATCCAAGTAAACACAGAACAATACAAAACAACATAAAACTCAATTTAGAAGCATACAACCCCCTTGGCCCCACTAATGACGGGAACTTTAGAAATCCCAGTACAAATAAGGAAAACAAAAATATAAGACATGAAACGAGTAGTTACCTCATTCAACATCCTATGCAATTCATCCCTTGCCTCAACAACTCGATCCCTATCATTGCTATCAACCACAAAAATAAGACCTTGTGTGTTCTGGAAGTAGTGCCTCCACAATGGACGGATCTGTATTTGGAAGAAGTTGGATCAGTCACTGGCTACGCATAATTCGAACTTCAGAAAAATCTCCACATTAAAAGGTAATTTCAAAATCTCTAATTATTCAATGAAAATAAATTATATAAAATGTTATTGCACCCATAATACATGAATCTAACTGCCTATTTAGAAGATTTTCAGAAACAATACGCAGATTCCTACAATGACTAAAAACTTGTTGCAAAATCAAGGATAAAATCAGAGTGTGCATCTATGGACGCACACATAGACGCGTGAATGAGAGAGAGAGATAGTTACTTTGTCTTGACCCCCGACATCCCACACAGTGAAGCTGATGTTCTTATATTCTACTGTCTCCACATTAAATCCTGCAGAAGAACCACTCCCGTAATTAAAATGACAAGTGATAACAATTTTGATTCAGAAGAATTCCGAGAAATAAAACAAATCGTAATCTTCACTACAACAGATGCCCCCACAACGTACAATTCTTCATGAGCGGAGAATTTATACCCAACATACAATTCTTCATGAGCGGAGAATTTATACCCCCACAACGTAATTGATCTAAATATTTGAATCAAAATATTGAGTTTTTAATCAAAATATTGGATTGGGGCTTACCAATGGTAGGGATGGTGGTCACAATTTCTCCGAGCTTGAGCTTATACAATATGGTAGTCTTACCAGCGGCATCGAGACCCACCATGAGAATTCGCATTTCTTTCTTGGCAAAGAGCCTGCTGAAGAGCTTCGTGAAGGTAAGCCCCATTTTTATCAAATTGTCTGCTACATACAATCAGACCATACAGTAAAATCAAAATTAGCAAAATTCTCATGCTGGGATTTCGTTCTACAATAACATTAAGCAAAATCAATCCAATATTCTTTCAAATCGTAATGAAAAATTCAATCAGATCCATATCATTTCGTGAATTGAAAAAACGAAGAGGGATTTCATTTTACATGGAGATCAAGATCGATTAGGCAGATCTACGATTCACATCTGATAACGAAGAATTCACAAAACGGACGACGAAATACTAGAGAGAGAGAGAGAGAGAGAGAGAGCGAGAGAGACTCACCTGGAGGAACTAGGAAGGATCAAAATGAGAGGAGGAGCCAACACAGCAAGCCGCGATTTTTATTGGTATGCTTTCTCTCTCCTGGACCCTGGTCAGTTAGTTAATCACCGCGGTTAGGCCCAAAACGATGTCGTATTCTTAAGAAGCCCAAAAAAACGCGAGACACATGTATATCTTCTCAGTCGTTGAGTGGGCAACAACACCACCGGCCCAATCATCCACAGTCGTTTTACTCCACCTTGGGTATGGCTTGTGCGGCTTGGCTCCAGCCATTGTCCTCATCCCACGCTCTCTTTCCAACTCTCTGCCGCCGGCCGACTTTTCCCCCCATCTTCCACCGGCTCACTCGTTTCTCCTCAACCGTTCGGCTATTATCCACCATGAACCGGTCGACTCCGGTCCTCGCTCAGGCCAAACGAGGCTTCTCAGTCAAAGAAGACGAAGTGGCCACTGGTAAGCCAAACTCCAATAATTGCTACCAAAAATATTAATAAAGAAGAAGAAAAAGCTTGTTCTTATGTGTTTGGTTCGTTCCTATTTGATTTTGCGATGGATTGAATATAGCTGCTGATGTTGAATTTGAGACGCCTCTGAAAATCGTGGAATATCCGGACCCTATACTGAGAGCGAAGAACAAGAGAATCGATTCGTTCGACGAAAATTTGAAGATTTTGGTAGACGAAATGTTTGATATAATGTACAAGTGAGTTCCATCATCCATGGCTTTTGGCGTTTGCTAATTGCTAAGTGCCCCTAAAAAAAATCGGATTATTGAGAAGTTCTTGCAATTTACAGGAGTTGTTGCTTGGTTTTTACACAGAACCGATGGCATAGGGCTCTCGGCGCCCCAAGTAGGGATCAATGTGCAGCTCATGGTGTTCAATCCAGTTGGTGAGCGTGGCGAAGGGGAGGAAATTGTGCTTGTGAATCCAAGGGTTTCCAGATATTCCCAGAAGACGCGACCCTTTAACGAGGGTTGCTTATCCTTCCCGGGGATTTATGCTGATGTTGTGGTGCGTGCTGTTGCTATATGCTGATTTCAAAGTTGTCTGCTTTGTTTGACCCTGCTATTAATGTCTTTCCATGTGTATTAGAGCTTTAAGTTATCCCCAATTGGTTTCTAAATGAGTACGAAAAATGTGCAAGAAATTGAATCTTAATATAAGTCACGTTCACTGAATACAATTTTCATACTGTACAATGAGCTTAAACTGCTTGCTTTGTGTGTGTGTATGTAGTGATTCATGGTATTGCTCTGGATGTCTCTAACTTTTTGTGCTTGCAGAGACCAGAATCTGTGAAAATAGATGCACGGGACATCAACGGTGCAAGGTTTACAGTCAACTTGTCGGGTCTTCCAGCGCGGGTCTTCCAGCATGAATTTGACCACTTGCAGGTTCGTTATTCAGCTACTATTTAGTAATTTAACAATGGAGTGTCAACCGAAATGCAAAAAAAGAATTTACAGTGGAGATTTGGTTCCCTTTTGCATTAGGGAAAGCAGAACTTGCAGAGTTAGGTGCAAGATTTCATTGGATTTGATGACTTATAGTTTGCATAAGCTGTGCCATTGTGGAGGATGGATCCCCATGCTATGGAGATTAGGATTAGTTACAGACATTCCACTTGTGGGGTACCTAGCTAGAACTTAATAAACTGAGATCGGCTTGTTGTCTTGAATATCACTTTTTGAAGTGTATTTGACTTGAGTAAAGTATGGAAGGTCACAAGTTTTCGCCAGCTAAATATAGTAGTATGAATGATAAAATATAGATGAGACATCTGCATACATGGCCCTGAGTATTGGGTGAACAAAGGAAATTGCGTCGAGGCATCTAGTATACGGAGAATACAAATCTATGATATGGACGTTCTGGCAATCTATGTCATTGTTTAAAGTTTCATGGCCTAAAGAGGATCTTAGTGAGTAGAGATTTGTGTATGGTTGCTCTTCTTTTCCCTCCTCTTATACGACAACTTCGTCTGCAGGGTATTCTCTTCTTTGATAGAATGAGTGAAGGAGTTCTTGAAACCATTTGTGCACAGCTACAGGTTAGTAATCATAAAACTCCAAATGGGCTTTCTTTACCTAAATATTCAATTAGTATTATATTAATTTGTTTTTTATTGTGTTATCTTATGGTAACAGGCCTTAGAAAAGAAGTACGAGGATAAGACAGGACTTCCAAGCCCGGAAAGGATCCAAACCCGCAAAAGGATGAAGGCTGCTACTGGTTTTGGCAAATCATAATTAGTATAGGCCAATATTGTAATTTATGATTTTGTTTATTAACACAAATTTTACATCTTCTAGCGCCATAGATGATTTTGCTTAATTATAATTAGGCACCATCATGAATCTGTATTCATAATATGAGATTAAATTTTACAGCACCATTGTTGTTCTCAGTAATCATGACCATCGCCATAGATGCTTGCTAACCCTTTGATACCAACTCTCACCCTTCTTCCCTGATTTTAATCAACTAATAACTGGACCAAATAAAAACATAATCCTTTTTTCCATTGATTAATATCTAATTAAGTCCAATCCATCCAGATCAGTCCAAACTCCAATCCCGCTAATTATATTCGGCGGGCGAAATGTAATCTATCAAATAAAAACAGAACATTGTAGCAGGAAAAGCAACAAAATACATGAAAAAGACATTCTAACTGCAAACGTCGTTGTTCTATGGCGGTATGTACAATTTGAGGTACCGCCATAGACGAAAGGCTTCAGAGACGGGTCCAAACTTTCAGGTATGTACACGTGTTTTTGATTTTTAACTAATCAACTCGCTAGGCTAAGCTAAGCCTGAGCTTAGCAAGAATCACCACTTTCAGACTGGGCTAAGCTCAGCCTGAGCTTAGCAAGAATTACTACTTTCAGACCGAGCTCCTGTGCTGCTTGAAGATGGCTTCCCCTTCTTCAAGCAGTCAATTTCAGGGACTGTGCTAGTTTTGAGCTCTCCGTACGCCTCCCAACAGAAAGGGCCATACAATTGCTTGCCTTCATCAACTGATTTCAGCTGTATGGTGTCCAGAGACACACCAGTACACGGTAAGCTGTCACTGCATGCAAAATGTACTGGTTTCGTCGTATAGGTTCCTTGTATGTTTACATAGTTTACACCCGAAACTGCCACGGCTGATGTCTCATTTTGGCATTTGCTCTTGTCACAGTAGAATTGGTCAATCATGATTGGGGTTGCAACTTCTGATACTTGAATGTTTGAAAACATGATGTTTTGGACTGACCCTGATCCTCCCTGCAGTAGAAAACCATATATAACTTGGTTCAGCATACATATACGTACGGACAAATATAGAATCTTGATTGCTATCTATTTGTAATTTAAAACTTACAATTATTAGAGAAGGGGCGTATGATGTATGTATTCTAATATGTAACAGTACCTGCCAGGTCTTTATTCTGACGCCAGTGAGTGTATTGTGCATTTTTACATCTCGGACTGTGACGTTCGATACACAAGCTCTAGTGTTATCCTTCCCTAGCCCTCCGATGCTGACTCCATGTCCGGGTCCACAATTCACGTTGTGTATGTATATGTTTGAGCATCCAGTTTGTATGGATATACAGTCATCCCCTGCAGATCATATGTTTAAATGTCATTCACTTGGTAAAGAAGTAACTTGTGCTATACACGTTATGTTGCTGGTCAACATGCTTGCTAGTTGGACTCTGATTAAGACCATGTATATATTATGCTTAATCTCCTTTGATTCGGCTCTCTGTTTTGACCATGTTTATGTTAAAAAGAAGTTGCATTCATTAGAATTCTAGTTCTTTATGCTTAATCTCCTTTGATTCGGCTTTCTGTTTTGGTCCAGCCCTACTCAATGGTCCAATTTTGAAAAATTACCACAAGCAATACTGGTGCCAAAAATGACAACATCCTGAGAGTTTTGGAGGTGGATTCCATCTGTGTTGGGGCTGTCACCAGGGGAGGAAATACTTATATCAGAAACCTGAACATTTGTGCAGGCGTCGAACTTGAGGTGGGCCTGAGGGCTGTTTTGAAGTGTTATACCAGTGACACTCACGCCGTCGCTTCCATAGAACCTAAGAGCCTGCAGTGCACAACAAAATATATAGCACCAGTCATAGTAAGTAATTGATTTTGTAAACCGGCAAAGGAGCTGAAAGGTGATCAGATTATTACTGTTGGTTTGGTGCTTGGCATTTTTCCACTGTCACTTTCTATGACCTGCGGATGAAAGTTGACATGAAAAGGCACGCGTGCTCAATTAGTTTCACTAGATATTAAAAGTGACAATGAGGTTTTTTTCAGCATAATAAAAACATTGGCCGGCTGCGTTTTGGCTTGACATAGGATGGATGAATAGTTAATTACCGTGTCCTGTGAACTGCTATATGTTTGATCTGCAGGAATATTGTATGTGGGTGAGTCACTCCACCAAACTGAACCTTGCCCATCAATTACTCCTTTGCCTTTGATTGAAATCCCTTTTAGCTTCGTGAATTCGAGCCATTGTAGAAGACCTGAACCCCAATCTCCTGAGCTTGTTGGAGCTATGATTTTGCCATCTAACTGCATGACATTTGACCAAACGTATGTATACATCAGCAAAATTATAGCTAATGATACTAGAATGCTGCTGCTGCTCTTAATTTTGTGATAAGAGGCAACATGATGTGGGTTCAAGATTCGAAAACTCACCTGAAATACAATATTTGGTTCACAATTAGGGCCAGAAAAAGAGATTGGTTTGACGAGGAACACGGACCCGGATGGAACATTTATAGTTGATGCCTGCACTTTGCAAGCTGCTGCCCACGCTGTTTCAAAAGCCTGCCATGCAATGCAAGAGAACTAGTCAAATCACAATAGCAATAGTAGCAGCTAGTATTTGTAATTGCGTTGCAATATATAGCATTTGATACATAACAAATATGGTGTCATTTCCAAACTCACCTTGGTATCATCTGCTTTTCCATCGCCTTTAGCACCATAGTCCAACACATTAAAGACGTTGGAATTCCCACCGCTGTTTTTTTGCAGTTTTGCTGCAGTTTCCTCTGGTGTGATGTAATTGTCTCCCCTTGACGGTGTCGTAGACACCCTAGGGCCTGCCTGGTGGCGTTGGTGATTGCCGCCATAACCCTTTTGTTCCTTCCTCAATGCAGAGGCAGGGGCAGAGGCACCCTTGTTTTGCCTCCAGTACTGCTTGCCTCCTTTTCTAGCATCACAAGGTTCTAACAAGCTTGAACACCAAATAGAAAAGGCAATGAAAACAAAGAATGTGAGGCTTCTTAGTTTAAATGTGATCATCATATCTTAATTTGTTTTGAGATCACAGAGGCTTTAACTTGAAGTTTCTGTATATGGCTAATGACAGAGGATGATGCGCAGGGGTGACATTATATATAGGTAGAGAGCTCGTTGCACTGTGCACACACATGAGTCTACTGTTTACAAAACGACAACGTTAAACCTTCCAAGGGGTCCATTTTCAACTATTAATTTTCTGTCCAACTCCACTTTCTTGTTTTTTATTTATTTTATTTTTAGTTAATTCTGCCGCAATACTCACCTCACTTGCTTTAGTTTTGCCTTAACAACAAAAATACTCAAACAGAAAGAAAACTTGGATGACCGGCCAACTAGAAATTATTCGATATAGAATATACGCTGATCTAATATTTCATACCAGACAGCTTATTTCTTCACGTGAGCACAGGACATTTCTAGTTAGTCTTAAACCCAATTTCGTTTTGCAGCTTCAGCTTCTCCCAACTCTGCCTTGTTTCAATCAAACCATATCGAAGTTTGCGTTGCGTTCATCATTTTGCTTCATTCACATGTGTCCAATTTCTCCCCCTTATTTTGCTCCTGCCATTTTCCTTACCAGTTACGTAGCATACATATGCAATAGCAAGGGGATATTGTAGCTCAAATGATTAAGAGTAGTTATCCTGCACTCAATATCATGTGTTCGATCTCTCCCCCAATATCGCTTATGTCAGGGGAAAAAACATGATTTTCATTGTCCGGGTGGGGGGGTTTTCTTCTCTACCCAAAAAAGAAAATGGGGTCTACATCAATATAAGGAAAATGCGAGGAAGACCAACTTTAGATACCAACTTGTGTACAAACTCTCTAATAGAGCGTGAGACCCATTGTATTGGTGGGCTCCACCTCTATTAGAGAGTTAGTATACAAGTTGGTATCTAAAGTCGGTCTCCATAACATGACCCTCAATATAAAGACTTAAAAGACACTAGTCATTTTAGAATTCAATGAATATGGTGGAAACATGTATACATCAACATAAGGCATTGATAGATTATTATGGGCATGCGAATGTATGTATATATTTAATTGGAATCGATAAGCACATGAGCTGATAAATTAACCATTTCCTAAACCCACGATTAACAAATTAAACACACGAGATTCTTCATCCATAATCTCAGTAATGAACAACTTAATAACAAACGTGCTTGTTCATATTTGCTCATCAATTCTTAGTCAAGAAACAAATAGTGACTTGAACGAGATTTGCATATCACCACACCACGACTTCCTCTGGATAAAGTAAGAAATTCAAAGAAATAAAGAAAGAAAAGTGGATCTTATCAAACAGCTGGTCAGGATCAGTTGGGAAACCGATTTGGCATGGCACATGTCAAATCAAACTCCAAACCAACTGTCATGCAACATCATGCGTACGCATATCTAGTACATGATCTTATAAATTAGACTTATTCAGCTTCTATGAAGAAAAAAAAAGGTTAAGACTTCAAATCCCAAAATCATGGGCTCCCAACACACTTAGACGTGATGCCAACGTGATGCATTAAAATTTGTTTGGAAGCCAATGGAAGCGGCAGAGTACATGGCCAATTTATTGATCGTAATCGTAGTGATCTTATTTTTCTCTTTCTCCTGATATTTTTTTTTTGGTTCAAACAATTGAAATATCATTGATAAAAGTTGAAAGGCTCGATTGTAATAGTCATAAAGACAACCGATCATTTGAACCCATATTCTTTTATCCAAACAAGGATCCAATACAGATTTCAATAGGATACAAAAGATAATCAGAGCTACAATATATCCCTTGTCAACAAGTTAAAAAAGATAATCACAAATATAGTACTCACCCAATCACAACCCTAAGAGCTCGAATCTAGCAGCAAATCAACGTTACATAACTTTATTGTAGCGACTTTTTCACACAAAAAATACGGCAATATTAAAATAAATATTGAGTGGCGTATATTTGGGTTGCCTTGTACCTTAAAACACGGGCAACAAAAAATTCTTTAAATTTTCGAGTGAAAGTGACGGTTGCAGCATGCTTGCTCTTATAATTCATAGATGACAACAGAAAACCGTTAAATCGGTTACTCCGGATATCATGCCATTGCGTTTGGGATAGGGTAAACCAAGTTTGTTGTTAATGATCATGTACGTATTAGATATTAGATGCAGATTGATAATTAAATTGTCTAATTTGTTCATAATCATTCTATCGCTTTACTAATTACTCCCGTAGTAAAAGACAGAGCTGGATAATTATGGTTCTAAACTCCAAGTCATAACTGGATCAGCAATAAATAAACAATTAGTAAATTAATAACTTTGCTAGTTGGAGACGCAATGTTTGAAATATGGATCACTCTCTCTAGAGATGGCTTACTCGTGCGTGAACAATATCAAAATTTACACCCATCACGCCGTATCGGTAGCATTTTAATTAGGACATTTAAATTATTTTATTTATCATCAGGATGAGCCGTATTTTACGAGACAAATTTGTCACAATTGATTTGCTTGTTTGTTACAAATTCAATGTTTCTGCTGAACAGTGAATTTTTTGAATTTTGTGTATTATTATTATTATTTTAATGAAAAATTATTGGCCCGTTCTAGAGGGACAGTGTCATTATCAAGAAATAGTTTTGTTTGTTTGTAAAAACTATTTGGAAGAAGCATAGCATGTCTTTTGACTTTTGGTTACTTTGCTGCTTATTTTTTCTAGGTTCTTGATCTCACCTGAAATCTTCATCGTCCAATAGCATTTGATACAACTCCATGTTTACATCTAGAAACCTAATACCCTTATTATTATAAATTTATAGCCTCAAATTACACTGATTAAAAATTATTACAACCGCCAACAGGAGTCTAGCCCCTTGAAAAGTGGTCTAAACTTGCAATTTTAGGTTCGCATCTCATGACATCTTAGTAAATGTATGTGTGTATGAGAAATCACCATCTTCTTATAGTTTAAATTGTAGCTAGCTTGTATTTAAAAGAAGAAGAAAAACACATCGCAACCGCTCCCCAAAAAAAACCATGATTGGGCTAATTGGACAGGGATTTACAGGCTTCGCTAAGCTGTGGCATGTTGGTGAGCCCGTAGACAAGGACGACGGACGTGAAAGACAATGAAGACTTAATGAGCTCATTCTTTAATATAAGGCCCATATAAGCCACCTCAGACTTTTCATTTTAAAAAATTTGTTTTAGGAGCCTATGAGGTGTGTCAGTGTTACCTTACACTTTAGGAGGCCCTATTAGATATAAAACTCAAACATAGGCTCTTTGTGACAAAAAAAAAACTTATATATAACGGGTATCTCATGTGTCATTGCATTATTAACAGAGGATAGCAAAAAGTGCTATCCCATTACATGAGAGTTTTTCTCCGTATGACACTTGTTGAATGCACCAATTTATAGGTATGATTATGATACATACGATTAAGTCTTGCCACATTTTCTTCTACCTCACACAAACAACGGCACCTTAACTATAAGAACTTAAGCATTGTTCCAATTTCATGTTTAAATGGCAAAATATTTTGTTTCAAAGAAGAAAAATAAAGATTTATGTGCCAATATACAAAATTTGTTTAAAGTAATTAGTGAAGTTTGTTCACATCATTTTGAGAGTGTTTTATCTAGCCTATCATATAATGAGATTAGGTGATCAAGTACCTGTAGTAGGGATGCTCTCGTAGAATGTAGTATAAATATCAGTCGTCGATTGAATGACGAAATATAACTATATTGCGGTATCAAAATGTGATAAGAATAACATTATGCGTTAATAGATTTGTAGCTTGGAAAGGAATATGTATGAACACTATCAACTACACATGTACTTTTATGTTAACATGAACATGTGTTATGAGATTTGTAGCTCTAATCTAAGAGGATCTTCTTCAAACAAATTTAACTTTACAATCCGAATTAAAAGGAAAATTACTAAACCATGTACGCGACTGAGCATATTTATGTCCATCATTCGCCAAAGCATTTGCTATCAAATTTCCTTCACCAACGATATGCGGAAACTACTTAACAATGTTCATGTGTCAACCATATAGAGACCCAACCCAACCAACGTTTGTAGCGTCAGTCTTGAAACGGTCCAGCTCAGTGCCACGTATGAAATCAGTGTCAAACATGGACATCAAGGAACTCTTAACTAGATTTGATAAAACAGGTTGGGTCCCGCTCTGTTTATTCAGAATCAGAAAGACAGAGTATCCAAAGGGGTCTCGCTTAGTCAAACTCGTAAGAAACGTCTCTGAAACTGCCGAGAGTAAAAAGACTTTCTCCCTCTCCCCATCTTTTCACTTTTTTTTTAATCATATTTTCTGTTGCTAGAAAATCGTTAGGGTTTCTCTTTCGCTCAACTCCCCAGCCCAGTATTGGAGTTGTTCAGATCGACGACGAGCTCAGCTAGCTAGCAAACGTAGAATGCCAGGCACTTGCAGCATCACAGGTTTTCTCTTTACATTGTTGTTGTTGTTGTTGTTGTTGTAGTGTAGTTTTGTGATTTATATATATATTTTTTATTATAAAAATTTCAGGTTATAAATCATCGTAGCTCCCATAGAAATTGCAAACTCGAACCTGTTGGTTCCTACACAGTACAAGATACATGGCTTCAGCTGGTACAGCAGCTGCTCCGGCTGCTGAAAATACTAGTGGCAACACAAAGTTTGCTGATAAGCTCCCAGAGGAAATTAATGAAATGAAGATCAAAGATGAGAAGGTGCTTTGCTTAAGTTGAATTGTTTCTTGTTGCGCAGCATTTAGTTATTTATAGTTATATAAATTTTAAGAACTTCAATTTATATTTCATTTCTTTGTTGACTGTTTTATTTATTTTTGTTAGGAAATGGAAACAGCTGTGGTGAATGGCAATGGAACTGAAACTGGCCACATTATTGTAACTACGATCGGGGGTCGAAATGGTCAGCCTAAACAGGTGCATTTTGCTCAGTTTAATAATCACTGTTGTAATTACTTGCTGGTTAAGATGTGAGATGAAGGAATAGATAAATTAAATATGTTATGACATGAATTATTCAGGAAAAGAATTGGATAAGTGCCATGAAGTTTTTATGCTTTTATCGGGGATTAAATTATAGAATCACTAATATGGAAAGCATATGCTAATGTGATATATATACAGACAATATGTGCACATAAATACGAACACCCATTTAGATATTACCTACAAAACGCTTAGATTAGAAAAAGGCTAAACGCCATACCTAAGTTTCGGCAAATGTGTAGTAATATAACTTAAAACCAAAGGAGATACAAGGTCTCCCAAATCAGTATTTTGTAATTTGTTTAACCTCAAACAGTATTGTTTCTATATTTTTGTCATTGCAAGTTAAGATACTACATTGTGCTAGAAACCTGATCCATTAATAGTGCTATTAGTTAGATATATGTTACAGTATCTTAAACTTCAACGCTTATCTGACACGTTGAAGCGCTTAGCATTAAATCCTCTCTGATTCATTGTGCAGACCATAAGTTACATGGCAGAGCGTGTTGTTGGGCAAGGCTCATTTGGTATTGTATTTCAGGTGATGTCTGACTTACAGATTCTTAGTTATCTATTTATGAAGAGAAAAAAAATCATTAATAATAGGAAGGCTGACCTCTTTTGACTATCACATATCACATACTCGAAGCCTCAATTATCTTATTTTGCAGGCTAAATGCCTAGAAACTGGAGAAACTGTTGCAATCAAGAAGGTTTTGCAGGACAAGAGATACAAGAACCGAGAGTTGCAAACAATGCGTCTTCTTGACCATCCTAATGTCGTGTCACTCAAACATTGTTTCTTTTCAACAACGGATAAGGATGAGCTCTATCTGAATCTTGTGCTTGAATATGTACCTGAGACTGTTTATCGTGTGTCAAAACACTATTGCAAAGCCAATCAGCGGATGCCTCTGATATATGTCAAACTCTATACTTATCAGGTTTTTGTTGTTCTTTGGACTCTCTAAGTTGACCCTCCCAAAAAGAGCATCAACATTGACTAATATATTATTGTGCAAAAGATTATGACAGAACTTTTAGGGTTTTCAGGTACAAGTTCTTTTGGTAACTTTATTTTGCTTGGTTTTCATTCTTGTCAGATTTGTAGAGCTCTGGCATATATTCATGGAGGGATAGGAGTATGCCACAGAGACATTAAGCCACAGAATCTCTTGGTTTGTAGTTGAATATATCCTTCTTATTTTATCCCCTTTTCTTTTACTTAATCATATTTTGATTTTGCCACTACAATATGTTGTTTCAGGTTAATCCCCATACTCATCAGGTTAAGCTGTGTGATTTTGGAAGTGCAAAAGTCCTGGTATTCTCTTCTTCTAGTGTCTTATTTCTTACAGCAGAACATTTATTGGCAATAGAGCAATATATAATGCATGGATGAATGCATAAAACTAGACTCACCAGTACAACTTTAAATGCATTACTACACTTGTGTTCTTGTTCATACTCATGCAGATGACGCCAAGTGTCTTGACCCATTTTCAGTTTCATGCATGGTATGTTTGGGTCTGCCTTCCTTGTTTTGTCTGAACTTTTTCATCATTATCCATGACAGGTCAAAGGCGAGCCAAATATATCATATATTTGTTCTCGTTATTATCGAGCACCTGAGCTTATATTTGGGGCAACTGAATACACTACTGCCATTGACATATGGTCTGTGGGTTGTGTTCTTGCTGAACTGCTTCTTGGACAGGTTTTCTATACGGGATAAAAAGTTCCTACTTATTCTTTTATTTTTTAGCAGGAAATGGATTCACATTTTGTTGTTTTTTCCTCTCTGTTTTGGCAACCCTTGTTGTAGCCTCTGTTCCCAGGTGAAAGTGGAGTTGATCAGCTTGTTGAGATTATTAAGGTAATGTTCTAGTGACCTTCTGCATGGATGGTGGAAAGTATATATTCATCTTTCAATCAACTCGAAATTTTGATCAGTCAGCTTCTGCAATTTGAACTGAATTAGCATTTCTTCTCCGAAATTAGGTACTGGGAACACCAACTCGTGAGGAAATCAAATGTATGAACCCGAATTATACAGAATTCAAATTCCCACAAATCAAGGCTCACCCTTGGCACAAAGTGAGTTTCTAGCTTCCTTGCTGACAATTGCTCTTCTCTGATGGTTTTGCATGCCATTTTCATTCGTATTATCTTCTTTTCATGCAGATATTCCACAAGCGCATGCCCCCAGAAGCAGTAGATCTTGTGTCAAGACTACTTCAGTATTCTCCAAGCCTAAGATGCACTGCTGTAAGTATCTTAATTCATGCGAAAATGGCAAGGATGAGATTTAGTTCTTCAGATCTTCTATTTAATCCAGTTTCTTATGATGGACATTAGTGGGACATTGGAGTATTAAACTTTTAATTCCGTTGAACTTGAAATTCTTATGCCTGTATTAGATAGCAAATTATCAAATGTAGTTGTTTATTTTCTTTCTTTTGGCAGCTCGAGGCTTGTGTCCACCCATTTTTTGATCAACTCCGTGATCCTAATGCTCGTCTCCCTAATGGGCGCCCTTTGCCACCTCTATTCAACTTCAAGCCTCAAGGTTTGCTCTTCATTTCTGTGATTGATATACCTGTACATATATATATGCTGCTGATAATGCGTTTGGAATGATGATGCTTGTGCAGAGCTGAAAGGAACAACTTTTGAGCTTCTGTCCAGACTGATACCTGAGCATGCCCGAAAGCAATGTGCCTTTCTAGGTATCTAGATAAGGCACACCAAGGCAAATGCAGCGAGACTGTACTATTGTAATGCTAGCGAAAAAATTAGGGACATCCTAGTTTGTTTCCTTGAAATAGTTCCAACACTTCTTTTTCTGGTTTTTCAATCTGGCACATTACACTCGAAACTCCTGACTGACTGTTGATTGGATCATGTATGTACTAAGATTTATCAGACTTAATAGAATATCTCTCTACCTCTCTCCCTCCCTTTTTATGTGCTTCCTTGGAGACATCTCATGATTTAGAATTGGTTCAAGTGCATATAAGTATAGTTTCCATGTGTTACTGCCGCCTGCAATGCCAATATGCTTGAATTCATTGGTAGCCTAAATTCTGCAGATTTGGTAACTAGAAGACAATGCCTGTTCTGAGTGATTTTGATCATGCTCATGCCAGACAGATTATACTTAAATTGTTTGCATATCGTGATTCTATTTGAAGCCAAGAAAATTACTCGGCTCTCACTCGCACATTTGTTTTTGTTAGATTTGTATTCTCATTTTGCCCTTGAGCATTCGAACACGCAAAAGTTTTTAATTCCCCATGTAGGCCGGCCCTCTTCTCTTGTCAGTCGGCCGATATGGTCGGTTTCCAAGCTGGCTGCGGCCACCACCGTGACCACTGCTAAACATGATGGCTGGTTTTATTATGTCCTAATGTTTGAAAGGGAAGATAAGATAATTAATGAGTAACAAAAGAGTAATTTCATTAAAAACAAACAAACACACATTTCCTTATTGTCATGCCCTATTAGAAAGATCATACAAAACGAACCCGACACGGGACTATATAATCAACCTTAAAGTGTATCAAAAAAATCACAAAAATATGGAAAATTGGAAACTTAACTTTATAAACAATTATTTGCTTTTGTGAATTTTACCCAAAAATTATATATATCGTTATTTACTAACTTGAACAAAGTTTCCCTTCTATATGCTAATTGATTACATGGAGTATAGACAAATGTCATTGACACTTTGTTTGAGTTTCACTTAAAAAATATATTTTTGTCTTTTGCTTGTGCTCACTTATACATGTCATGTGAGGTGGTTGAGATACGAGCTGGGATAACTCTTTATAATTATTGCTCTGACTTGCTTACGTCACTGTCCACTGTAAAGAAAATGAGAATCTTAATTTCATACTCTTGAGAGTATGAAATTAACATACTTGCTCATCCCACCACACAGCAAAAGGTGAGGCCCATTGACTGGACCCAGCTTTTGCTTTTCCAGTTAATATATAAAATTTGAATAAATAAAGAGAAACGCTATTCACACTCGTATAAATAACGCAAAGAAGCTTCAAGAAAAGTGTTACGAAAGAGAGAGAATATAAAACTAATTTCTGTAATGAATTTATATAATTTAACACAATTTTATTATAAAATATACAGCGGGAGTTAAACCGATTGAGCGAGCGAGTATTTGAACGTTTTTCACATCACGCCCGTGTCGTTGTGCGTTTCTAAACGCACCAGGCAGGCACCATGTTCCTCCCTCGAGTTCCTCAGCGCTGGTTCTCGCAACTCTCGACTGCAACCAGTGTCTCTATCTAGACCGACAACTATCTCTCTCTAGGTTTTCTCTGTAAGTAGCTCTTCTTGTTTCCCTTGCAGATTTCCTCGCCCCTTTTCCCGTTTCTCTTTTCAACGGGCTGAGGCTCGGAGCTCTATTCATATTCACCGTACAAAGCCACAAGGCGAATTTTTGGTGAGGTGAAGTGCATTTCCGATATTAACAAGGAGGCCTTCACGATCACAGAGGTCCTCTGCATTTTCAGCTTGCGGAGGTAAATTTTCTTTGAGCAAGGCTAGTTATTTTTTTTCAAATCGCGGTTATAAGTTGTAACTTATTACTTTCTCGTCATGTTTGTTGTTGATTAGGGTTTTTTAATTTAATTTTATGAATCTGTTAATGATTAAGAGTTTCTTTATGCAACTGATGTAATGTAATGCACTGTTTGGTTGCCGTAGAAAGTAGGACATGATGAGAACTTTTTAAAGATTTTGTTCCTCATTTTCCTCAATTGTCTCAGTAAACAAATGGGGGGTTTACGTTTTACATTAATAGAGAGTAGAGATTGTTTCCTAGTCTGCTTGATGTTGAAGAAAGAGGATGTTTTGTGGATGTTCTTAGATGGCGGAGACTGTTGTGGCTTTCAAATCCTGAAATTAGGAAGAATAGGGGATAAGGGGGGTTTGGTCCATATTGAAATCTACAAGGTCTGGCCATTTATTGTTTAAAGAATAGATGAAAAATCAAATATTTCTTTGGCAATGCTAAATGAATTTTTTAACTTGTGGCCTCATGGATGTTATATTCTTTGCAACCCCTTTGGTGATAATGGTGATAATTGAGTTTTGTCGGCTTCTTGCTGGGTTGTGTCGTGTTCGTGTCAAGTATTAGTCAACTCCAGTTGAGAAGTAGTTGATAACGTCCTGTATGTACCTACTATTTCAATATTGGTTTTATACTGTTTATAAAACTTAAACTCCCTAAGCATGAAATTTTTCACCAAGTTTGGAAATTATCATTTAGAATCTTAGGAGATAGAAATACATCAATGGTGAAATTGAATTCAAGTATAACATAAAAAATGATGCATACGTTTTAAAATGATTCAGCCATAACATACAATGACAACATAGCTTTTACATTTAAAAGTATTACGTGTCTGCCCTGAATCATAAGATGCTAAGAATGATTTCCTGTGATGGTAGTCAGGGCAACTCCCCTGAATTCATTCGCTACCAATTTTGGGCTACTTTGTCTTTACCTACAGTTTTACCAATTTAGGTATTATCATGAGAATTTATGATTGTAACTTTATTGTTGATGGTGATATTATTATTTCTTGTTTTCTTCATTAACATTACACTAATGAATGAGAATCTCTTCAGCAACGGTTCTTGGGATAGCTCTGCAGCTGGGTTCATCTGGGACACGATTACTATTGCTTAACCACCCATGTAAGCTCTGCACCATCAATCTCCCTATAAAAAAGATCCGTATGCCACAGCCAATGGCTTGGTTGAGTCATTCTTTAGACGGCTCAACAACTTTCATTAATTGATCTTTTAAGTAATATTTTATGTACATAATAGTATGAGTATGTAATCCCATTTGTTTATTACAAGGCCTGTTATGCAAGTTAGGGAATTAATTAAACTTTGCATTTTTTTGGCACTTATTCCTTCTGTGTATTACTTGGACAGCTTGCAAACCTCTGTGTGGGCCAGACATAGCTTGAAGAGAAATGGTACTAGTTTTCTAACTAAGTTCTGTATTCATTAGTCCCTTGTTAATTTTTAGTCACTCTTCATTTTGAATTTATTAAATTATTGCGGTTTGCAGACCTTTTTGGTTATTGCACACAATTTGTAAACACCTGCTGTTGTGGGGTCTGTTTTCTTCCGAATTTAAAGATTGATCTTTCTTGCTGAACGTGGAATTTAGGCAGCTATTTATTGGGTTTTTGTATAATTGTTTACAGTCTGGGCTGTTTGGCTGTATTTGATAGTTGTATTGTTAGTTTTTACTGCATTTGTAATGCTTGAGTGAACCCTCAGTTGACTAAAATCGTTCTGTCTAGTATTTGTCAGTCCAGTTTACTTCTTTTTGTTGTTCACATGTGTTTATATAAACTTTGTGCAGGATGGAAATACTTCTGGCGAAGATGGGAATGATATTGACTGGAATACAGAAGATGAGCTGGAAATTGATAACTTCACTTTATCTTCTTCTTCAAGTCTGACAGTTCCTGGTGGAGAAGCTGTTGTGGGCTGTGGGGAGGTAAACGTTTTTGCATCAGTTTTTCGGAAATATAATATATACCTGATGAATATCTTGATGGGGTATTTAATATATATATTACATAATTAACATGCAATTCCTTTTTCTTCCTATAGTCAAGCTCATCTCCAGGTCCTTCCAATTCCAAAGTTGTTGATCATTTTGTTGGGATGGGATTTTCTGGAAAAATGGTTGCCAAAGCAATTCAGGAACATGGTAAGAGCACTGTATCATGTCATTTGAGCGCGAGTTTTCCCCTGGAATGTTTCAATTATAACACTATATAACATCGCTTTTATGGAATATCCAGGAGAGGAGAACACAGATTCAATTCTGGAAACCCTCCTCACATATTCGGTGAGTCAACATTTCTTCGTTTGCCAATGCTGCTTTGGATACTTATTCTTGGAGATATAGATAATTTTAGGTTTGAGCTTGGTAACACAAAGCACATATTTTAAATTTTTGTTGCAAGGTGAATGGGTCACAGGTATCCTGGGTCTCATGTTCCCAAACTTTAAGAACATAAATTCTTCCGGACTTAAAAGGAAAAAAGGAGAAGAGTTCACACTTGTCTGTTTTCTTGCTATATTTTCGCAGGCTCTTGAAAGTTCTCCTCAAGAACAGCAACAAGTTGATTGTAATCACTGTTCTTCTGATAACGAAGGGAGTTTTCTGGATGATTTCTCCGATATGGATAGCTTTTCTGATAATGAGGTAGTTATTGTGAGCTTTTCTGATTATACATTTTCCTTTTATTTTTGCTAAGCTTTATATTTCATTTTTCCCCAATCCTCCAAGCAACAATTATATTATATCATTTTTTTTTCCGCAATATCATTAAAATTTGTGTCCACGCTATTTTATAAGCTAATACGTGAACGTACAAGGGATAGTGGGTTCACGACAAAGACATTTTAATTTAACTATTTTGCAGGAAATCATAAATCCTACATCTGAGAAAGAGAAAAAGATATTGTCCTTGGTCAATATGGGGTACACGGTAGAGGAGGCTTCAATAGCAATAGAAAGATGTGGTATAACTTTACTTTTGCTTTGATTCTTTTTGGATGATTCTGCTAGTTGAGTCAGTTGATTATGCCATTGCCATCCTTTCTGAGTCTCTTATTCAATTCTAATAGTTTGTGATTACCAGTATCTCCTTCCTCAGCCCCACTTTTCCTCTTTCAAACACCACAGGTCTTGACTCCACGGTTGTTGAGTTGACTGATTTCATATTTGCTGCTCAGACGGCAAGGGCAGAAGATGTCAATTTTCCTCTTGAAGAGAAGGTTAGTAGTATAGAATTAATAGTCTCTTGAGTTTTCAACAAAATCAGTTTTATCTATTCATGCCATGTTCAGTAGATTGTGATTGGTGGTTCTACTTTTGCAGCCTAGACCAAATCATGCATACAAGAAGAGGAAACTTCTTGAGTACGAGATGCTGAAAAAGAAAAGGCAGATGCGACTTGGGAACCAGACCACAGGTGAAGATGATGAGACAGTTCATCTCCCAAATCCAATGGTTGGGTTTGGCATCCCATCTGAACCATGTTTGAAAACACAGAGGAATCTTCCAGAGGGAGCCAGAGGGCCACCATATTTCTACTATGAGAATGTGGCACTTGCTCCTAAAGGGGTTTGGACCACTATATCCCGCTTCCTGTATGATGTGCAACCGGAGTTTGTTGACTCCAAGTACTTTTGTGCGGCCGCGAGGAAAAGAGGTTATGTTCACAATCTTCCTCTTGATAATAGATTTCCTCTTATTCCACTTCCTCCAAACACCATACATGAGGCATTTCCCTTGACAAGGAAATGGTGGCCTTCATGGGACACACGGACAAAGCTGAACTGCTTGCAAACTTGCATTGCCAGTGCAAAATTAACAGAGAGGATCAGGAAGGCTATTGAGGATTATGATGGTGAACCACCACTGGGAGTCCAAAAGTATGTTCTTGATGAATGCCGGAAGTGGAATCTGGTGTGGGTAGGAAGAAACAAGGTCGCCCCACTTGAGCCTGATGAAGTGGAAATGCTTTTGGGATTCCCAAAGAACCACACAAGGGGAATAAGCAGGACTGACAGATACAAATCACTCGGGAATTCATTCCAGGTAGTGAATTCTGTCTTTGTTTCATTGGAATTTAGATCTATTTAATATTCATTTTTAATATATGATGCAGTGATTCATATGTGCTGGTAAATCCTGAAAATTTGAAAAAGTTTATGTCTTTGCCGTTTGTTTTTTGTGCGCAGAATCATGAAATAGTTAATGTAAATGGCTGGTTGTTTGTTTGTTTTTTCCTCCTTGCATAGTTTCCCTAGTAGAGTTTCAAGTTAGAATTTTCTGTTTGTCAGATATTATATGCATGTTGTTTACAAGTTCAACTTATTCCAGGTTGATACTGTGGCATACCATCTGTCAGTTTTGAGAGAGATGTTTCCTAATGGCATAAACCTCCTCTCTCTTTTCTCTGGGATTGGCGGGGCAGAAATAGCTCTTCACCGGCTTGGTATCCCTCTGAAGAATGTCGTGTCGGTAGAGAAATCTGCAGTGAACAGAAGTGTTGTGAGGAGTTGGTGGGAGCAAACAAACCAGAGAGGGAATTTGTATGACCTTGAGGATGTACAGCAGCTGAATGGGGACAGCCTGGAGCATTATATGAATTTATTTGGTGGTTTTGATCTTGTAGTTGGTGGGAGTCCATGTAACAATCTTGCAGGCAGCAACAGGCATCATCGAGATGGACTCGAGGGTAAAGAATCTTCGCTCTTCTATGACTACTTTCGTATACTAGACTTGGTCAAGTGTATAATGTCAAAGAACAATTGATTCCATGTAAATCATCTGCTTAAGTAACTTTACGGCATTGAAACCTCGACAAGCAAGAAAAGGTCTTGCATTTTATTTTTTTCCCGAGTTTGGATATTTGGTTCTGGTAGTTGTTATGAACTGGCTTTAACTTCAAATTGTCTTAAAATTGATGCTCTCTCAAGTCTCAAGTCTTATTTGCCTGGTTTCTGCCCCATCTCCCTCTCTTGTCTAGAAAAGATGGAGAGAAAACGAGTGGGTTATTGCACCCAAGTTGGGTTCCCCTTTCGTAAATTAGACCCTATCGCTTGAGAAAAAGAATACTTTTCCATTTTCAGACTGGTCGGTGAGGGGGATTTTATACAGCAAAAAGAAAAGTCAAAACTCGTATTTTCTGTTGATTAAAGCTTCAGTCAGGACCGACTTATATACACTTTCAAAGCAAAATGCAAAAACAATGTCTTTTATTTTCTGCTTTCTAGTAAAGCCGTCCTTTTAAGCATATGCTCTATGTCCAGTCCTTTTTGTTTTCTCGTCTAGAAAGATTGTAAAATCTAATGCAAATTGATGATGAGTTTGATCCAAAACAAACTCATATGATTTGATACAAATATTTAACTAGAAGCAAATCGGCTGATTTTTGTAATCAGATACCTGTACAAAGCAGTCATGGAAATGGAACCTATGCAAAGAGGCAGCCATGCGAGCTTCTCTTGCAACAGCCTTGGCAACAACAGACTTTACAATCTCTGTTGCTCTAGGCCAAGAGTGGTCATAAAACTGGGGGTAGAGATACCCACCAAGAGTTTTATCACAGAAACAAAGTGGGACAAATGCAAGAAGAGAGAGCTAGAAGGAAGCTCAAAGACTGAGCCATAATGTTTTTTTTTGGGTATTCTTAGTTCAAGTCTAGTAAGACCACTAGAGAAGAAGAAGGCTTGAAATTGTCAAATGAAAATAAAGCTCTCCCCAAGACTTGCTTTGATGAATGTTGGGATGGCTTAGGGAGTATTTATAGAGGAGACTGTACACAACTTTGAAGAGTGAGGTACAGAGAAGCTGGAGTTGGTAACTTACTATCGGTAGCTACATCAATAGACAGGATCAGAAGAGATGGTTGGAGTTGGTACAAAGCTTTCATGCTTTGGGGTGACTAATCATCATGTTAATACAAGATCTAAGCTCAATCAGCTGATTATAGAAGAACAAAACTTTTTGGCTTATAATCCAAGTATCCTTGACATAGAAAAAATATCAGTACAGTGGCCCTTTAGATCATCATTTAAGCACTTTACATTAATTGATTACAACAACATCCCACCTTCAATTAGATCTTGGTCTCAGAAAATTCCAATTAGAATAACATGTTAGCAAGCATTTGGAAGGTCCATTAATGTAATTTTCCATGTATTGAAGATTAATAAGAAAATTTGAACTTCGGCTAGAGTTTTACATTAGGGTTCTTCTAACACTCTTTTCTTACATTAAAACTAGCTCAAGTGGTTAAGAACATTTACCCCTGCACATGCAATCCTAGGTTTGATTCTCCCCTCTCCTAATATCGCTTGTATAAATAAAATTAATTATAAAAAAAACCTTGTGTAACTTTCAAAATGATTCCCAAATATTGTTGGGTAATTCTTGTCAAATATGTTAAGCAAACATTTCACCATCCCACGTGTCATTGGATTACAGCATTGCAATTGACGACTGATTCCATGTGGGACAAAAGCAGGTCAACATGTTGTTAATTGTTTTGTGATGACAATAAAGAGAGAGTAGGAGCAGACTCAACTACTATGTTTGACAGAGTATATAGTCACCCAAACTAGATGACTCAAAGCTTCTGATATTGTCAATGTCTGTAAAGGTGTCTTAGAGCAAGCCACAAATTTAGGGTTGAACCCTTCATACTTGGGCACTTTTTCCCCTTTCCCCTAACGTTCACATTGAATTTTAATGGCCGTCTAGATGTTCATTGTACGGATTTTAATGATGCAAGCTCATGAGCCCCCCACACATCAACAACTGAGAGTTGTCCACTTGGATAGGCGACTGCCCTTTAACATTTCTTTACACCTAATATTCATCTCGTGTCTTCTTTCTTGTTCTTTTTCTTTCCCCTACTATCCATGAATTGACATTGATTCCTTTATTTTGTAGCTTTTTGACTTCAGGATCTGCAAGTATGATAACGGGAATATTAGGTTAATCTGGAAGATCCAAATATGATAAAAGATATTATTATAGGCGGGGTTGGAGTACAACTCCTTTAAGGATCTGATTCCTCATCTGTAAATTTGCAAGTGATATCTTACAGGCCTCAAAGAAAAGAGCATATGCCATCATAGCTCGCATATCCTTAGCAACTTTGCTAATGGCTTTCCAAGTCGCAGATGACAAATTAATGAGCAAGAGATCTATATTGATTTCAGTTGATAACTTGAGATTACAACATCCAAAATTACATGCTATGAAATTTGGTCTCGTCAAAAGACAGACAGGTTGTATAACTTCAAAACCCTCACATTTCATGTACTAATACAAGTTAGCTGCGGCTCACTGGTTCGTAATGTTCAAATTGCACCGTATTTTCTTTCGTTCGGCCTTGATGTTCCTTGATTAGAAGCAGAAGAGCGTTCCCAAGAGGCTTCACTGGCAAAAGTAGTATTAAGGTCTTCTTGTCGGGTGTAGCTGTGCCCTCCGTCACTCACCTATTTTTGTACCCCCCACATTCAACACCATTAGAAAGTCTACAGAGGACGTGGCAAATAGTATTCCTATTTGCTTCATAACTCAGTTCCCTTGCTTTGCAAGGTTTCTTTTCAATTTAAAACTAAAGCATCTGGCAGGGTTTATTTGTCCCAAAGAATTTGAGCCTCATGGAAAATGGGCCAAAGGAATACGAGGAATATTTGTGTTAGTGATGTATACTTACAGTTTCTAAACAAGCGGATAGAATTGTCATTCCCGGCAATGCATCAATCCCACGCTGCATGTGATCAAATAGAATATATAATTGAGGACATACAAATTGAGACCATGATGAAAAGCTGCAAATTCGGAAACCATCCAAGACTTTGAAGCCATAGAAAAGGGCCTACCTTCCTTTCAACTTGAGTCTTGTAAATAAATCCTCCACAGCAAAACAGGGTCGATGAGACAGTGAATCTGATCCAAGACAGTTCATTTCAAACTTCAGATAAAATACATAATACATAATTCCTACAATTTATCAATACTATAATTTTCAGTAGGAACTGCCTTACATGCAGGATAACACCCCAAATATAGCCCATCCTCGTGCACTGTCTCCATTTTGGTTCTGCCTGTTTTCTGAAAAACTGAACGAACCAAGCTCTTTCAGTTGATATTATTTCAAACCATTAGTGTTTTCAATTCCAACAAATTTACCCCTTGTCTCCACTTTCCCTTATTGGCCATTTAACTTGAATGTAATAATTTCTGAGAGTGACGACATTATTGAGGGACTCATTCCTAATTGGTAGACAGTGAACACAGTCCAATCATGTTTCACCAGCAAGTTCTAGTGCAAGAAGGATAGCTTTAACATGAAGTACTACATTGCATCTTCAGAACTTGTTCTATTAAGATTGGTTATGTCTCTCCATAATTTGAAACAGGGATTTTCAGAAGAGTAAGGATTGAGAGAGAAGGCAGTAGTTATCAGTGACGGCAGTATGAGCCTACCACAGTTTGGCAAGAAAAAATTGGATGGGCTCGTAACCCTCTACTGGGATAGTGATATTAACTTCATATGGAGTATCACGAGCCATTTCACCTGAAAATTACAAAAAGAAACTAAGAGACTTTATTGTAAGGGATATCAAAGCCCACTGCAGCAAAGGATACCCTTACATCTCCAATCAACATTTAACATTGTGGGTGACAAAGTTGTAGGTGGGCTCCCAGTTGCTCCCGATCCTGATACCTTAACCTCCAGACCATTTTCTGGTAAGATCTGCATATATTTTATTAAACAAAGGATACATACTTGGACCAACTTATTCAATGATAAATGGTTTCCCATGCATCAAAGTATAAGGAATTCGAGTAACTTAATAATAGGTCTTTGCACCAAAGTGGAAAGGGAAGCAATTGCAGTCATATAAAGCGTTACATGTGTCTGCTCAGTCCCAAAGCTGCAAAATGCAAACTTTATTTAGATTGATGGATACTACATTTTCTTTTTTGGGTTAGGGGGAAGGGATGTTAAATGAAGCAAAACAACTCATAATAATTCCTATACCTAAACTCATGGTGAGACTTTTCATAGCCCAATTGAGTCATGCCATCATAAACCTGCAAGTTCATAAAATGGTTCCTTCAGAAAATAATTTACTTTTGCCTGGGAAAATTAATGTACATCAGGGAGAAAAAAACAATTCTTACAAGTTCCCATGACCATGGATGGAAACCTACAGTGAAGCCCTTAAATACTCGTGGACCTGGTTTCTCGCATGGAATAGCTAGTTCGAGAAAAACTCTGAAACATTTAGGAATTGCAACAGAATCAGGGAAACATGAGTGTCTCATAATAAATGAAGGCTCCTATATTGAAACATTTCTGTTATCCCAACACCAGCATGCAATGATTGACTCGATTAACAGAGATTTAACACCACATTTCATTATAATGCAACATAAAGTGGAAATCAAGGTACTATTCAAAAGACCTGCAACTCGACTCATAAGTGACATTGCAGATGCATCCAAGTCCACCTGAAAACAAACAATAGTAAGAATCAGTCTTAGATTACTGAAAATGACAGAGTCAGAGGCAGTACAATATTAATGGTAGAGATGTAACTTGAGGAGGAAAAAAATTGTAAGTAGTTTTTGATAGAAAACAGGATGAAGCAATGAGACCTTCTATCAGTGTTTTAATTAGGTATGAAATATCAGAGTTACTTGTAGTTTCCTCTTTCTGCTTTCTCTCTTCCTCTCCCTCTCTAGTGCTCTATCTTTCTTGATGAAACAGTTTGCAAAAATTCTTCTCACCACCTTGCTAACAAGTAGCCCCTTTAATCGCAATGGTTCCAATTTGTTAATGGTCTCCATATAATTTTCTTATATTATCTGCTGTCCATTCAACCAAAGACAGAGTTCAAAAGGGGGCATATCAATTCCTATTATAAATGGTGACTGCACATATAACCTAGAAGTGAAAGGTACACAAACCTGTGCATTGGCCATTTAAACAACTTCCACATATAATGTTTACCTGAATTTAAAGAAGATAAAAAAAGAATTATGAGAGAAGTGGAATGACAGTGATTGCCAAATATTTAATATATATATATATATATATATATATATATATGAAAACTTCCAGGAGAAAGAAATAGGGATTCTAGAGGGTGGAAGTTTTCCAGCATAAAACAACCTGAGCTGTTCATCCCAATTTATCATAACTGTGCTCACATTTCGCCAGGTCGCCATTATAAAACCCCTATCTACATTCAGAAATAGAGATACCATACCGAAACAGACAAGATGCTTTATGCTATAGTCAAGCAGGCCCACACAATGTAAACTAGCACTTCATACTTAGGCAGGGGCTTACCTATGAGCAAGAACTGTGTCTTCACGATAATCCAGAACATGCTTGGCAATGACATCCCAGGCTGTATAAAAATCTGAAGAGGAGATGTGAATAGAATTTACTCTCACTACACTGTACAGTAACTCATTTGAAAAAGAAAAAATAGTTTTAAATGGGTAAATTTCACTAGAGGCCCTGAACTTTAGGTCATATCTCATACTAGCCTCTGAACTTTAAAATATGACCCTTAAACCCAATCGTACGTTTAGTTGGTGCAAATCTTAAAGAGGGAAAATCGGTCATCTCCTTCTTTCCTTACAGCCCCCTCCTACCATTTTCTTACTTTTCCGGCAAAAATAGTTTCCACTCATTAATTGCAAAAAACAAAGCCAAATTGATTATAACCAAAAAAATCATGCTCTAAGTTAAATGGAATTACAGGTTATGATATCTGACCCAGTCTTCCACCATAAGGATCCCAAATAAGTTAATAGACAACAGGATTACCAATTACGTCAGCTTCACATAGATGGGCAAGACTTTGAAAACCAAGAGCTTGAATTACAGGATCTTTGTTCTCAATGCAAGACTGTTGATTCAAAGCAAAAAGAAGACACCTTATAACTGAATGTATAGAGAAAACATAGAAAAAAAAGCTTCCAGAGAAACCATACCGAAACAGACAAGATGAGGTCCACACCCCTATCAGGATTTTTTCTACAAACATCCCGAATTGATGCGGCCATACTGATGCATATATTTCTCTCAGACTTTAATTCAGTGAACCCCTTTGGAAGCAACACTCCCTAAATGTTGAGAAGAAGCAATGCAAATACAAAAGAACAAATCAACAATAAAAAAGGGGAAACAGCAAGGCAACAGAATAAGCAAGCATCTTGGATATTTCTCCTAAGTCAAGGATTCAGTATTAAATCCAAGGATCAAATTATCTGAATCATACTATCATTTCCACTTCAACTTAGTACTTCTTTTTTAAGCCCGCCATGTTTTCAACAGACTTCTTTCTAAGGTAATCCGCAGTCCACTACATGTATCCTAATGTCCAGCCATGCAACCAGACTCGGGATATTTGTAGAGAGCCGTTAGATTTTAATCAGGTTAACTCTCCAGATATAAGAGTTGGAATTTTACATACAAGTTTGAAATAAATAAGTTTATTCTGGGAAGCATCAGAGAGGCCCAAATTCCAAACCATGATAGGATGGACTAGGAACATTAACTCTCAAGTTGATAGATGGACTAGGAACATAAGAAACACCACAACTAGAATCTTACCTGCAAACTTCCAAAGGCACGGTCATTGGTCTCCCACGTCTGACAAAGTAAACGAATGGCTGTCGCATATAAAGTTCTGAACATCAAATGAAGGATTTCAAAATGATAAAAATTAAAATTTCACTAGAGGCCCTGAACTTTAGGTCATATCTCATGCTAGCCTCTGAACTTTAAATTATGACCCTTAAACCCAATCGTGCGTTTAGTTGGTGCAAATCTTAAAAAGGGAAAATCGGTCATCTCTTCCTTTCCTTACACACCCCCTCCTACCATTTTCTTACTTTTCCGGCAAAAAATAGTTTCCACTCATTAATTGCAAAAAAACAAAGCCAAATTGATTATAGCCAAAAAGATCATGCTCAGTTAAATGGAATTACAGGTTATGATATCTGACCCAGTCTTCCACCATAAGGATCCCAAATAAGTTAATAGACAACAGGATTACCAATTAAGTCAGCTTCACAAAGACTTTGAAAACCAAGAGCTTGAATTACAGGATCTTTGTTCTCAATGCAAGACTGTTGATTCAAAGCAAAAAGAAGACACCTTAAAACTGAATGTATAGAGAAAACAAAGAAAGAAAAAAAACCTTCCAGAGAAACCATACCGAAACAGACAAGATGAGGTCCACACTTCTATCAGGATTTTTTCTACAAACATCCTGAATTGATGCGGCCATACTGATGCATATATTTCTCTCAGACTTTTAATTCAGTGAACCCCTTTGGAAGCAACACTCCCTAAATGTTGAGAAGAAGCAATGCAAGATAGAAAATAACAAATCAACAATAAAAAAGGGGAAACAGCAAGGCAACAGAATAAGAAGCAAGCATCTTGGATATTTCTCCTAAGTCAAGGATTCAGTATTAAATCCAAGGATCAAATTATCTGAATCATCCTATCATTTCCACTTCAACTTAGTACTCCTTTTCTAAGCCCGTACAGACTGCTTTCTAAGGTAATCCACAGTCCACTACATGTATCCTAATGTCCAGCCAACCAACCTGCCCAGGTTGCAACCAGACTTGGGATATTTGTAGAGAGCCATTAGATTTTAATCAGCTTAACTCTCCAGATATAAGGGTTGGAATTTTACATACAAGGGAGGGCGGGGGTGTAGAATATGAGAAAAGGGAGGGCGATGGCGAACATGAGTAAGGCAAAGGCGAATTTTGGTGAGTCGATGATTGACTGATTATCAGAAATGGCGTGTACTTTTTTTTCTCTGGGCTGAGTGTGGCGTTTACTTATATACGCATAAGGGTCACCAGAATGTCGACACGTTGCTATCCCCAAATCCGTCCCCTTTATTTACCAAAATTTAAGAAAAAGGAATTGCGTAATTGACCAAGAAGGATCGTCGACCGAATTTAAGCTGTGCTGTGCTGCGAATTTTTTATATTGCCCCGATTCAATTGGTAAGCTATACTATTTATTAAATAAATAATAATAATAATAATAATAAAAGGACCGCCCAGCGCTTAGACTTAGAGCGTGTTGTCGTGAAAAATAATTCTATTTTAGTGTAGAATGATATTGATTGTCCTGCTGCAGCACACATAAATGCGTGCGTGGTTGTATATGCATCAGTTTTGCGGTTAACCTTGAGTATCACCTAAGTAGCCTCATCATTGTCAATGTTTTTTGGCAATCACCTTTGATCGCACTCGTTAGCATTGCACCGTTACCACATTTTCTTTCTTGTTCAATGCAGTTACGCAACTTGAATATCTGATGGTTTATATTTTTTGGTGACTTTCCAGGGGTAGAGAAGGATGTAGAAGTTCAACGTTCAGGTGGCAAGATTGACATGGTCTCATTGAAGACTACTGGAGATCTTCATGATGCAAAGCAATCTTTAGTAGAACTGCTTTGCTTATCTTTTTTTGAGTTAGAATAATGTATTTGCGGAAGCTTTGTTTCATTTTTTTAACAATCAATCCTTTCAGTTACTTCATTAATTTTACAAACCAACGGTTGTAGACCTAGCATTTTGATAATAGGTTCACAGAGTTGAAGTTTATGATATCTACTTTGCATGTTTCTCCAAACCAAAGATATGCTGCCGAGAACATTTTTACAACTTGACCTTGATCCATGTCTACACCGCAAATTATAACCTGATCCAACCTAGAGAAATGTCATCGACTTTGCAGACCTTTTCATGCTGCAGTGAGCTCAACTTTGTCCTGTTCTTGAACAATGTTTGCACTCTGGCAGCCTTCTCGAAGTGATCACAAAACAAAGCTTTTCAGTTTGGGCATTCCTGAACGCCCACAGGGTAACAACATCTTTGAACTTTAGGCCATGATGTCGAACAAAATATCGCCAATAAAGCTTATGATTTTTGCGAATTTTTGTGGTCTTGAACAGCATACTGTGCTCATTGCCAGCAATGTCATACGTTGTGACCCAAATGCCTCGTGTAGAATCTTCATTACCATTCATCAATGGGAAGACGTGTTCTTCTGCGTCACATTCTTCACCTCTAATGAGAACATCGCATCAGATTTTGTCAAGTGTCTCTCAAAAGGCTTACTGCGTATTTGAATCAAGTGTTGGATGCTTGGGACTGGTGGGAGATCAGGAGGGACATACTTGCAAAATCCATGGCATGAACCTAATTCTAGTTTTGGCTGTTCTTGTGTTGCAACAGCTTGTTGGGATTGTTGGCCACATGGAGCTGCATGTTCTTGAAATTGAATTGAGCATTGGAGGCTCGGGATTGGTGGGAAATCACGAGGCACATAGGTTCCAATTCCATGGAAAGATCCTAGTTCTAGTTGTTGTGGTAGTTGAGGCATGCCTTGTGCTGCAGAAATGGCTTCTTGGGCTTGCAGGGCATATGAGGCTGCAGATTCTTGAAATTGAATTGAGGGTTGGAAGCTTGGGAATGGTAGGAGATGACGATGAGGGACAGAGTTGTGAATTCCATAGTATGAACATAGCACAATGGCTTCTTGGGCTTGCAGGACATGTGGAGAACAAGGTTCTTGAAATGGAATGAAGTGATGAGGAGGCACATAGTTTCCACAGAACCAACCTAGTCCTAGTTCCTGTAGTAGTATGGGCATGCCTTGTTGTGCTGAAATGGCTTCTTGGGCATGCAGGGCAACAGGACATGACTCTAAACTCATAGTGCCTATATAGGAGCTCGGAAGTTTCAGTGACCTTAACATATGAGTAACAAAATACCTAAGACTAGCTCGGAGTTTTCATTAATGTGCTTTGTGCCCCATTCCCAACATCTTTGTTAATCATATTGACCAAAACAGGGATTTATAAACCAGATTACTAGAAAACTTTCTGAGTTAACAAACCCCAAAAAACAATTAGAGCTAGCTCCTGTTGCCAGACTCATTCACTAAGCTACACAGACTACAACCCACACCACACAATCAAAATTCAAATTCACAAAAGTATAAGCAAAAAATTGCCCAAATTACCTCACTCCATAGTAACTTTGGCACCAACTTCCTTCATCTTCGCGACAATCGAATCCGCCTCCTCCTTCGTAATCCCCTTCTTCAACAGCGTAGGCGCCTTCTCCACCAGGTCCTTGGCCTCCTTCAGCCCCAAACTCGTAAACGTCCTCACCTCCTTAATCACTTTGATCTTTGCTGCAGCATCAAAAGAATCGAGCTTTACATCAAAAGCCGTCTTCTCCACCTTCTCCTCGCCTTTAGCCGCCGCCGGACCACCTTTGCCGGCGCCTTTCAAGCCGCCAAATCCCATCCCCGGCATCATCATCGCCATCACCGGCATCTCCTTTATGCCCAATTTCTCCCTCAGAACCTCCGTGAGGTCCGAGACTTCGAGCAAAGTCAGGCCCGATATCTCATCCGCGATCGCCGATACCGTCTCGGACGGAGGTGGCCGTTGCTCGGGTGCAGCGGTAGTGTAATTGCACACGAAATGAGAACTAATCTGGGGCTTTGATTGGAGAGAGGATAGAGGAGGGCTTTGGGGGTTTAGGGTTTTGGGAATACGAGAAAAATGTGGGGAAATGAACCGTAAATATCTCATTTTTCTGGGGTTGGGGGTGTGATTTCAGGCAATTGGGGAAGTTATCTGAGCATTGTGGTCCTGATTAGGTTAGCATAAGCTTGGTGCTTTCATGGCTTCTGAAGCTTAGAAAAGAGTGACTGGTATGGCGCGAGTTTGAGTGACCGCCTGCAGGCATAAACTCTATACGGGGACGATGGCTTGAGTTGCCCTCCACCAAGGTCTGTGAACTTCAGACAAAAATTGATGATGGGCCCAAATCCATTTATTGGGCCTTGAACCGGGCTTGGCCCAAAGGTTTTTGGGAAATTCTATTTACAATACACCACCCAAGTTAATCAGAATACCCATACCTAATTTTTAAGATTATAGCATGTTCACATATTAGATTACATGGTTTTTAAGAAAATTTGGAAAACTAAGGGGGCGTTTGGTATCCTATTCAAATAGGGAACTCAAAAACTTTGATTTTTCTTAAAAACAAGGAGTTCTTAAATATATTTTTAAGATTAAAAAACTTGTTTGATATGCAACTTGAAAATTGTTTTCAAACCTTAAAAATTTGAGAACTTGTGGGTTGTTAGGAAAAAAAAAGGAAAAACATATTTTTTTGTTTTTAATAATTCGGGTGTTTTTTAGTTGTTTTTGAGTTTGAATTTTTAAAAATAGGGCTACCAAACATGTTTTTTTTGTTTTGAACTCAAATTATGTTATGAGTTTAAAATGTTGGATTCAAGTTGAATACCAAATAATGGAGCATCTTAAGGGTGAAGGCAAACTTGTTGACAAGGATCTGTCTTTAGAAAAATCACTATGATTGTCTTCCGGTCATGCTTCCGAGAACTTCACTTTTTTCTCCATTATTATTTTAATTCTTCGGATGGGAACGTGACATTTTTTTATGATTATAGGATCACTAATGGAATGTTGATGACAGATAAAAACCTTGAAAGTTTGTCCAATGGACGCCTTGAGGAATCTGTGCAAAAAGCAACTTCTCTTCTCTCCTATCTTTTGACAGACTGCATTATCATTATCAAGGGTAGGCCTCATGTCTCTCAATTCTTAGTCCCAACTCCAAACCTCATTAGGTACAATAAAATGACGTACGTAGAAAGATGATAAGAGACGTACGACAGAGGAGCAGTTTGACATGCCTAATAAGTTCAGAAACAGTAAAATTTAACTTTTGTAAGTTTAGGTTCCGAGTTCTAATTTGAGTTCATAATTCGTTGTTGTTTTGAAAACAACATTAAGATGAGTCAAAATAACGTGATAATTTTACATCTACTTTGGAAATTCTATTAGTAATTCAGGTGTTTGAGATAATACTAAAAGTAACTTTAGCTTTGTGAATATCAAGCTTTGTGGTTTCTCTCTTTATTGCATTGTGTTACAAAAAATAAATAATAAACGAAGGTGTAGATTGTTGATGTTAACTAAAATCGAAGCTTTTAAAGATTATTGAAGATGAAAAATAGCACAAGTTCCATGAAAACACAACAAGCACTAATATTGCATCATTGGATCTCTACAATATAATGGCCACATCAAGCTTTACAATCAGAATTTATTTTGGGAAAGAGAGAAAAAAAATAACTTGGAAAAGCAGAAAAACACACACTACATATGAACTTTTATGGCCCTGAAATCATGCATTCTGATTGATTGAGTTGATCTTCCTGCATCTCTTTCTGATCTCTCCCCTTGACCCTGTAAGTGGGGAAATATTTCCCATCTTAACCATGGACTTGGCAAACTACTCAAAGAAAAGCTCAGTGTTCTCAGCATACTGTTGAACCAATTGCTTTGTCACTTGACTCTTCGTGATAAGAATTTCATCTGAGTTCAGGAGGCCCTTGGAAGCCAACAAGTTCTTGAAGTAGCTGTTGTCAAACTTTGTTGGGCTGACAAAGTCCAAGAAAAACAGGGTTTGGTCTCCACCAGATCTTGGGCACCTGGTTCTCAACTGTGCGGCATATTTCTGGTCAAGGGTGAAGTCAGCTAAGCCATTGCCTGACTGGTTGTAAAGCCTCTGCCTGAATGAGGTGCATCTGGCATTTCCAATGGTGTGGCTTCCTGCAACATCAAAAAAAAAAAAAAAAAAAAAAAAAAAAGAAATTCACTAATATACCTAATATAGGGGCCCCAAATTATAAAAATACCCCATATGAAATGAAATTTATAAACACACCCAAAACTCATTTACAACATAACAAAGAGACCTTAACTTCTTATAAATTACAAAACTACTATAAATTTCTTAAAACAAGCCAAACCTCAAAATCTCATAAAAATACCCAAAACACTCAATAGGGCATTAAAGTAATTTAATAATCAATATTAAATTTAATAAGGCCAGCTATCATTTTTGGGGTTTTTTTTGGGTTTGTTTATAGAAATTCAATTATGGAGGGTTTATCTATAATATTAGTGCTAAGAATGGGTATATCACTAAATATCTCTAAAAAAAACTGATTGAGAAACACAAAGCTCAGGGCATGTTAGCTTTTTGGGTCATTTTTATTTTTAGTAAATAGTGAAGAACTATGTTGTGTTTTTTTGGCAATGTTACCAGATAGTGCCACAAGATCAACAATGTTGAGCTTTTGCCTCTTGAAATTGGTGAGGATAGTTTGGAAGGTGTTGTTTGGAGCAGGGATGTTGTTGTTGGAGCCACTTAAACTTGCTCCTCTTGAATCTCTTCTTCCTAGTGGAACCTCCCAGTTTGGCCCTCCAGACTGCAATATGCAGCAACAATTTATAGTCACCCTATGTGAATTTAGGTTTGGGTTCTTACACCATGCAACTTACAGAGCTAAAAATGTAACACCTACAAGCACAGTGGAGTCTCTAGCAGCAGCAAGAGCCATAATGTCAGCACAGGACACAGTGTTGGGGCACTCTTTCTCTAATGCAGACTTGATTTCATCGATTACTTCGAACCCTCGAGCTGAATTCTGGTTCGGGACAGACCACTCCTCAGTGATTATGTTCTTGCTTGCTGCTGTCCAACAGAATTGATGCATCGCAACCCTGCAACATTCAAAATTAGCAACATGATTTTAAGTACATCAGTCAGAAGATGTTGACATAACTTTTTTTATTATCAAATGAGACGCGTTAGTATGATGAACGCCCACCCACCCACCGAAGGTTCCAAGTGCCAACGAACGAACGAGCCTGATATTTTCTTCAGGCGCTGTAAATAAATAAAAGGCCAATAAAATAAATAAATAAAAAGATTTAACCGTGGTCAAAATAACACACCCAAGTTTCTGGCCGATATTTCTATAAATAACCTATTGGCTCGTCTCCTTGGCTTCCCACTTTTCTCTACGCTTCTCACCCTTCGGAAGCGTAGTTTTCCACTTTCACAGAGCCAGGGGGTTACGCCATCAGATCCCATCGCAGATTTTCTCACTCCCTTACTTTCCGAAACGACGCCGTCAGGTCCGATTTTCTGCGTCTCCCTAACTCCCTCTTTATAGATCTCTTAGATCTCTGTGTGCTCATTGTATTCTTTTTAGGTCGCATGCATGATTCGTCTGAGTTGGTTCTAGGGTTTTATGCATATCCGATTATCTTAGGGCTTCTCCGATAACGCTAGGTTTAGACCTTAATTGCATCTTTGATTATTTGGGTTCCTTTAGGAGACTTAGAATTTTGTTGGCTTTTGTTTCGTTTTATTTCATGTGCTCTAATTTTCTCGTAACGGGGTTGGGGTCAACTCCATAAATGTAATTTTTTTCCTTTCCATTTTGCTTTTGGGAACAGATTTTCTGCCTTTATAATTATGAAGTTCTTCATAACTTTGGGTTTCCGATGTCTTGTATTTATTTCTCAAAATGTTGGGGTTTAATTCTATGTCCTCTAGTTGTAATTTCACATAATGCATGTCACTTGTCCGATATATTGATTTATTATTGGAGATATTGTTCTTCTTAATTTGTTTGCTTTGTGTTTGTATTTGTTGCTAACATTTGTATTTTCCGTTTTTCCTTGTAATGTTATAGGATAGAGTTCCATTGCCATGGCTGCCACTGCAACTGCCTCTAGTGGTCCTCGATATGCTCCGGAGGACCCCACTCTTCCCAAACCGTGGAGAGGATTGGTTGATGGTAAAACTGGGTATCTTTACTTTTGGAACCCCGAGACTAATGTTACCCAATATGACAGGCCTGCGGGCTCAGCTCCTCCATTAAAGCCGTCTTCGGCACAATCTATAAGTTCTTCAGTTCATGTTCAACAATCTTCACAAGGACGTCGTCCTGATGAGGGAGATGATAGGTATGGCAGAGGCAGCAATGGTGGGTCAAAATTTGACGCTGGACCAAGAAATCAGCAGGTAGATGTTCATATTGTTAGTACTGGTGGTGGATTTTCTTTACAGATTTGACGTATATTCAGTTATTTGTGTTGTTACCTTTAACTTTATATGTTTTCCCATATTGCTAGTAGAATGTTTTGTTGTGTTTTCATGTTGCGAACCAAAATATTTTCCGTGAAAGTTTTGGACTGGTTTAGGGTTGTGTTTAGAGGAGCTGTTGGGTGACTTCTTAATACTGTTGCAGCTCCATGCAACCTGCTTGGTAAGTGCTTTCATATGGGAACTGATATGGTGTTCTTATTTATGAATTAGAGTGCAAGAAGTGCAACAGTTTCTTCTCATAATACCACGAATGGGACACTTAGTGCACTTGGAGGATCTTCTCTGAGAGGAAATGTATCATCAGACACTGGAATTGGTTTGTCTGCTGAGGCTTATAGTCGTCGACATGAAATATCTGTTATTGTGAGTATAGATGAATTTCTTATATATGCTTGGTATCATAACACTTAAGTTGGTCTTTGGTTGTGATGCTTTATGCAGTACTCTGTTATTTGGTGCGATATTTTTTCTTCTATCTTTTATCCATTAGTAATTGTTGGTTTAGTTTGATTCTTCAAATAAAGAATTTTGGTGCAAAATGCACACTTTTCTTGCATGTGTTTCACTATGATAGAGGCTTCTCATGTCGTATTAGGATTCTTCAATGGAGTTATGTTGTCTCCTCTCTCTCTCTCTCTCTCTCTCTCTCTCTCTCTCTCCTAAACACAAATCTATAGGCTGACATGCATGCACTCCTATGTTATAATTGTTATTATTATCAACTTGTCTCTCTCTATATATATGGTACGAATTTGTGATTCTGTAAGATAGTTGGTTTGTTTAGAGCTGCTGTGATTTTGTTTACTGTTATCTTGTATGTCTGAATGATGTTTTGTTTTCTTTTGATTTGCCTCATTTGTTAGGGTGATAATGTGCCTCCACCCTTCACTTCATTTGAAGCTACTGGCTTCCCATCCGAGATTCTTAGAGAGGTATTGAGTTATTTTTATCCTTTTTGGTATTTCTTTTTTGTGCAATACTGTTGGCCATTAGCTGCTGTAAGTAACCCCGAGTGTTTTGTGAAAAGTTATGTGATTGCTGGAGGTCCAATGTTGAGTTTCAGACTCATGTTAATTCTTTTGCCATCTGTACTTTTTGTCGCAGGTGCGATATTTGCTCCTGGGAGGAGCTAATGTCGTACGCTGTGCTGCCCCTCATTGTGGGGGCTTGCATTTAATTTGGAGCGCCCTTTTACGGTGGACCAATTTTCGGAAAGGGCTTTCCGAATCACCCAAGTTTGTGGCTGGGACTGCCGTTGGTCATGATTCAGTCTGCCACTCGGCCCGAATGAAAGAAGAGGCCTCCTCCTGCTCCAGCTTGCTGATGCAAGCTTTGGTCGCCTGCAATGGGGGTGTTGCTTCTTCTGCCATTCCACTCTTCTAGCCCAAAAAGAAAACAAATCACAAATCTTGAAGCAAGTTCGTCTGCTTATAGGGGTTCCTGGAATTTTTGCTTTTTCCAGGTACAAAATGCAGGTTTTTCTTCCCCAACTCCAATTCAGGCACAGTCTTGGCCGGTTGCTCTTCAAAGTAGAGATATAGTAGCCATTGCTAAAACAGGTTCAGGGAAGACCTTGGGGTATTTACTTCCAGGATTCATCCATCTCAAGCGCAGTCGTAATGACCCTCAGATGGGTCCCACTGTGTTGGTGTTATCACCAACAAGGGAGCTGGCAACGCAGATTCAAGATGAGGCGGTGAAGTTCGGGAAGTCCTCAAGGATATCTTGTGTGGTATGTTACTTCTGGTCCTTTTTGCAACTCCACTGTAATATTCCAGTTGTTGTCTTTTCTTTTTAAATGATTCTTTTGTTTTGTTTCTAGTGTTTGTATGGAGGAGCTCCAAAAGGTCCACAGTTGAGAGATATTGACCGAGGAGCCGATGTTGTGGTTGCCACTCCTGGCCGCTTGAATGATATTCTTGAAATGAAGAGAATCAGCCTCCATCAAGTTTCGTACTTAGTGTTGGATGAGGCTGACCGTATGCTGGACATGGGTTTTGAACCTCAAATAAGGAAGATTGTGAATGAGGTACCTGCTCGCCGCCAGACCCTAATGTATACAGCAACTTGGCCAAAGGAGGTTCGCAAGATTGCAGCAGATCTGCTGGTCAATCCTGTTCAGGTTAACATTGGCAATGTTGATGAACTGGTTGCGAATAAATCCATCACACAGGTATTATACTCTATCTGTGCTGGCTGTACTAAAGTCTATAGCTATTAGTTGACTTATCAATACATGTTTTCTTACTTGTTAGAATATCACTCTAGGTGATCAGAATGATCACTTAAATTCTTTTACATATTTGATCCCCTGCACCAATTGAGGAATCTATAATGAGTTTGTGTTTTATGTAGTCTTTAAATATTGTCTTACAGCTTTACCAAACAAATATTGTGTCTTACAGTATATTGAAGTACTCGCCCCAATGGAGAAACACAGGCGACTGGAGCAAATATTGCGATCTCAAGAGCCAGGATCCAAAATAATAATCTTTTGTTCAACCAAGAAGATGTGCGATCAACTTTCTCGCAACCTAACCCGCCAGTTTGGAGCTGCTGCAATTCATGGTGACAAATCTCAGAGTGAGAGGGACTATGTGTTGAATCAATTTCGCTCTGGGAGGACTCCAATTCTTGTAGCAACTGATGTTGCAGCTCGAGGATTGGACATCAAGGACATAAGGTTTCGCACTGCCCAGCTTATAGTCATATATCTGTACTTATGTTAGAATTGTGGATCTGTGGATGGTTGTCTGGCCAAACAATTATTTCAGATAATCTGGTGCTTCTACCATGCATTCCATACCTGCTTAAGATTCGTATAAAATTGGTGGTTAAGATTGCAGTGTTCTTTTTGTCACAGGGTGGTTATCAACTACGACTTCCCCACTGGAGTGGAGGATTATGTTCACAGAATTGGGAGAACTGGAAGAGCTGGTGCCACTGGGCTGGCTTACACATTCTTCGGTGATCAGGATTCAAAGTATGCATCAGATCTCATCAAAGTTTTGGAAGGGGCAAATCAGCGTGTCCCCCCAGAAATTCGTGAGATGGCTACCCGTGGTGGTGGGATGAACAGGTTCAGACGTTGGGGTTCTGGATCTGGTGGCCGTGATGGGGGTCGTGGTGGACGAAATGATTCAAGTTATGGTGGAAGGGATGGTGGGAGGGGAGGCGGATGGGGATTTACTCCCTCTTCTGGCAGGTACGAGACTATTTTTATTGATGCATTTATTTTATGTGTACTAGCCCCTTGGCACATGCGTGAGCATGTGCCAATTGGTTTTATTTTTTATTTTATTTTTAGAATTAAGAAACGATAACATGGGTAGTTATGTTCCATAAAAGTGGGACCTATTATCTGATTTTAATTTTTTAAAATATTTTTAAAAATGTGAATTTACCATATTATCCTCATTTAATTAATAATTTCAATTCTTAATGTTTGAATTAACCAAGGGCATTTTGAATGTTTCACCATTCTCTACCTTTTGCTTTAGATATGTAGATTATTGTGGATCTGATTGTTCCCCAAAGTGGATTGAATTATTTGGCTAAACTTTTTGCTTTGGTTGTAAATAATTTAATATAATCTTTGCATGAAAGAGTTGTGGAACTTTTAGGCACAGAAACAAGTTCAAAATTAAAGTTTTCAATAATCAATACTATTCAGGCTGGTTTATCATATGTAATTAAACTTTGATGTCTTGTGGTGTCAAATGTGCTTTGAGGAGTGACGGTTGGAATGCATTTTGTTGTATGGGACAGGTATGACCGTGGCCACAACAATGGGTATGATAGAGGCCGAAGCCCTGACAAGGGGTCAGGACATAGAGGCTCTAACCGCAGCCGTAGTCGTAGTCTTGAGAGGTTCGACAAGGCTCTGCCTACAGGTGGAGGCTCTGCAGGGTGGAGTTTTCACAAAGCAATGATGGAACGTGAACGGTCATCGCCGCCACCTCCACGCTCACTCCCGTATGGTGGTGGGGTGGATGAAGCTGAGGAAGGTATGATACCTCAAGAAGAGGAGGGTGGGTATCATATTGCAAATGCATAACTTCAGCTATCCTATAGTGGGGGAACATATGCTCTGCTGCTGGCTGTCCTATTTTTTACGGTGTTTCGGCAGTGTTCTGTAGGGGCAAGCTTTACAAAGCGCAACCAGGATGGACCAGTTTGACTTTTGACTTTTGATTTTTGATTTTTGATTTTGAGGTGGGCTAAAAACTCTTGATGTTAAACCTCTTCATCCCTTGCTGAACGAACCTCTTGTCTCCTGGTCTCCATTTTTGTTTGTGTTAATTTTTGGGTAGAAATGAAAGGGCACAAAAGAAGATGTAGCACTTGTTAGCCAAATATTTATAAATGTAATCAACTTGTAGTTCTATGACATGCAGTTTTATATAGTGATTATTTATCAGCTAGTTTATGATCTGATTCTGATCCATTATTGTTTGTTGTGGTTGATGTGTTTGTTCCATCACTTCTCAGCCGTAGGATACTAGATATTGATTGCCACGTGGACAGCAGTTATAAGGTCCGTGACCAAGTAGCAGCCTGCAATGGGTTGGGTTGGGATGGGCTCGTTGGTTTTGATTAAGATTTCTAAGTCTCAAATCTTCACCTAAACTGGGCTCATGCAAACCAAGCCATGTATTAAATATTTCGTCTTTTGCTAATTATATTTTCTTAATAAATGATAAACAAATACAAAAAACTTCGAAATTTCGGGTGGAAGGTAAAATATTGCTTTATCTATTTCAGCGGTTAAAGAGACAAAAGGTACTGAATCTAGGGCCTCTTGTTTGTCATCAATTTACCACAGCGAAAATAAATCTAATGTATTTTGACTTTTTATATATATAATTATTATTATTGATTAAGCCTTTTACTGAAAGTAAAGCACATTAAAACTAATATTCAATTTTGCTAAAACAGAGTGCTTCCCTAAATTCAGTCCTACATGTGGAGAAACACTTACGTGAAATGAGAATCACACTATTTTGCTATCCTATGCCAAACATGTTATGCCACGCGTGATAATTTTTTCACGTGGCAATCTGTAATTAGTTAGGGATGGAGAAACAGTGCTATCCCCGTTTTATACAAGTTTTTCTGCTACATGTGACTGACTCACTATCCAGTAATTTAGAAGAGTGGAGTGGAAATAGTCAAATAGATTAAGAAAAAAAATAGTCAAATTAAGATTTATTTTGCTAGAGTAATTGGCTTTAACCATGTGGGCATATTGTACTGTAACTGAACAAAATTTAAAATCCAAAGCAAAATTTGGCAAGACCTTAATTATTATTATGAAAATAAATAGATATCCATTCAATTAGATGCCAATTTAGGATGCATTAAAAGTTCAGTTACAGAAAAGATGCATTTCCTTAATTGGACAAATACACCTCATCAGTCATGCATGGCTTGAGTTGAGACAAAACCAATCCAGGTGTTAACCTTTACCATAAATTAAAAAAAAAATGGTACACAAATACAATATGAAAATACATACAAACCCACACATAATAATTACTTCATTAATGCCTGCCCCCTAATCATAATCCTTCATCTTTTATTTTTTTGATAAAATGAAAGGTTTTTTTTTTTTTTTTTTTTTTTTTTTTTTTTTTTTTTTTTTTTTCTATTTTTTTAATTATAAATTTATTATTAAAAAAAATGGTAAGTAGGATTTGGAGGTCTGTAATTATGAGATTCAATACTTGAACCTTACAACATGCATCACACTTTCCATTAAAGATAAAAAAACTTTGTTTAACCAAGGCAAAGAGAAAAATATAACAATAGTTAAAATTGATATTTCCTTGTATTTTACATTTTTGGCAGGCCTTATTCATGCACCCATAATTAATAACTGGGACTTACCTGAGTTGGACTGGTAGATAAGTTTGACTGAGACGAAATTTGATAACCTTGTAAAAAAAAAAAAATCATAGTAAAATAATAATAATAATTTTTTTATATATTTATAGTACAAACAATAGTCTAAACTAGAGGGTTGAAGGATTTCACACAGACACACACACAACTATGATGCCGTGTGAATTCGAACATGAGACCTCAGATATGTAAATTAAGACCTTTTTTCATCATGTATGTAAGTAACTGGACTAGACTATGTTGGCCAAAATAATTATTTTTAAATGAATTTAATTAATAGGTTTTTTTCCTCAATGAAATTGAGAGTTTTTTTCTGGTACAAATGAAATTGAGAGTTGTTAATTCCTAGCTAGCTTGACTCTTTTCATAATTAAGATGCAGCTTTTAAAGCTAAAATTATTTTAAAAGGAGCTGTAAATTTGTTTTTTCCTAGTTGGAAATGCAAAGAAATAATGTGAGGCCCATCTCAGGTCTTCCTTGTTACTTTGCTTGTCCCAGCCAAAGTGCATGCATCCAATCCACCGTTGGCTGAAGCGCTGCGTTTCGTGAAGAAAATACAATACAAGGGTAATGTCACGCCATAAAACATAGGGGGCCCTAAAACATAACGAAGGCGCGGTACATGTCTGCCACGTGTCACGAAACCCTGTCTGAGAATTTTCCTAACGACCTAATGATTATTTTGCATATGTTTTATTGTTGTAAAAATATTTTTATTTTAGTTTTTGCTTCAACAATTAGAGAAAAAGCAATGTTAAAGAAGCTGAACAGTCACTGAAGGGAAGAAACATGAGCCCTTGGATGGCTAGATTGGGCCCTACGTGTACCTTGCTCTCAGACTCGGACCTCACTCATAAAAAACTACATAGAGGAAAACGCACCCCCCATTTACAGCACAACATTAAACCAGCCTTCCTTTCTTGAGCTTTTGTTTCTCTTTAGACTCTCTCTCTAGTCTCTCTCTCTCTCTCTCTCTCCACTGCATGGAGTTGGAAACAAACTTGAAAGAATTAGATAATTTTCCTTTCCATTCAAGCCTTTTCTCTGATTCTTCAACCCCTATGAAATTGAAACCAGAGCATCCTTCCAACACCAACAATGGGATTAATTCCCTACGCCCACAACTCTCTTCTTCTTCCCCGCCACCACCCAATTGCAAGCCTTTGTTTTCTTCCCTGGTTCCTCATTTTGATCCTCATCATCAGCATCTTCATCTTCATCATCCCCATCATCATCAACCGCTTCACGGGTCCCATTTGAATCTGAATTCTCATTCTCATGATGACTTCAAAACCAGTTCTGATCACATCAATCATTTCTCTACCATTGAGGGGTCTTCATCAAACCCCTTCAGTGGGATTTATTACGACACAAATCCTCATGATTTTGTGGCTGTTCCTCTAGCACCTGATGGTATCGACTTTCATGGTGCTAGGGGGTCCTACTGGGGTGCTCATCATCATCATCATCTGGATGGTCAGGAAATTCCAGATGACCAGGCGCAGATGGGCCCACAAAGCTGCATACAGCTTCCTCCGTTGATCAATTTTGGAGAATTCGGATCATCATCGGCTATGGCCATAAGTTTGCCTTCAGATGAAGTCACATGCAATAGCAGCAGCAGCACAGAGATTGAGTTTTGCAAGAGACTCTCAGCTGATGATCAGAAGAAGACCAAGAGGTTGTGTATGAGAAGACCCACCAGTAGTAAGGTACTGCAAAAGAAACCCTCCATCATCAAAGGCCAATGGACCCCTCAAGAAGACAGGTAGAGATTTATTTTTTCTTGCTCTATCTGAATTTGTAATTTTGTACGATATAGCTAGGTTGATCGGTATTGAATTTTTTAATTTTGATGTTTCTGTAATTTTATGTGATGAATGGTAATGCAATTAAATCTCTATTTGCAGACTTTTGGTGCAATTGGTTGGGAGGTTTGGCATTAAGAAGTGGTCTCAAATTGCTAAGATGCTGAGTGGGAGAGTGGGAAAGCAATGTAGAGAAAGATGGCACAACCATCTGCGGCCTGACATTAGGGTTTATATCCTTTTCCCCTTAATTCTTCACTATATATCCAAATCCATTAACATAACTAGATGCAAGCATACCTCTAGCTTAATTTCACTATAGACCCTTTTATTTTTCATTTACATTTTGTTCTAATAGGTACTATTGAGTCATCACTATATTATATTATTATTGTGGGAGCGGAGATTCAAACTTAAGACCTCTTTCACTATTAGACTAATCTAATAGCTGACATGTGCAAGTTCTCAATTTAGGTCCTTCACTGGGTTCATAATTATATTAATGTATATAGACACATATATGCATATAGCTATATACATATATGGTTTCGCGCATATTTGGTTATATATTTATTAGAAATTATGACAAATTTACTTTTTGACGCATGTCGTGAAATATACACTCTTACATTGTCTTATTTTGTCATTGTCATTTCTCTGTTTACATATTTTGTAAAGCATATTGACAAAGCACTATCCGATCTGGGGTAGAGGCACATATAGGCCTGAAATGGTTGTGGCCCCCTAAAGTCCCAGAAACTCCTTTGAAGTGTCATATAAACCTGAAAATCTGTGCGTAAGTTCATAAACTTTTCAGCTATTGGCCCCTCCAAACATATAGAGTCTAGCTCCGCCACAAGGTCCGATATTTGTCGATATCATGCGTTTCGACCCGTGCTAGGTTAGATCACAGGATTTTAATTAGTAATAATTAAGCAAATATAGATATATATATATATATATAATGAATTTTCAAAACTACCCTTGTCAAGGTTGATTCATGAGAATAAAATAATCTGAATCCGAATTCGAATCCGAATTTATTTAAATTTGGATGGCTGCAAATGTCAAATTATCATCCATATCTTTTAGCAAAGAATTTATTACCAAAGTTGGGTTAAAGTCAAATTTATTTAGAGAACCAAAATTATATTGTTAATATGAGATTCGGTGTTGTTCTGTTCTTGTATATAGATAAGTAAAATAATTTAGTTATATGAAGTTTGATTACATGTAAAAACTTAATTTACCTTTTCATTTATATATTACTATACTTATTATCATGGTTGAGTTGGTATAAATTGATTTATTTTTTATTTACTAAGGGCCCATTTGATAACTATTTCAATTTTAATTTTTAGTTTTTATTTTTTGTGCTAGAGTATAGAGGAAAATGAGAGGGAGAATGGAAGTGATGATGAAATTGAGAGAGAGGATGAGATGGGAGGATGGGAGGGAGGAGTAACAAAAGTGAAAACAATTTCAAATAGATTTCAGTTTTTAAATTTTGTTTTCATTTTTGCTACTCCTCCCTTCCACCTCTCAATCTCATCTCTACTCTCATTCTCACTTCCATTCTCTCTCTCTTTTTCTTCTATATTCTAGCATAAAAAATGAAAAATGAAAACTAAAATTGAAATGGTTATCAAACGGGCCATAAGTTAACAAATTATTGAATTGGACTAACTAAAACAGAATAATTGACCCTTTTTCATCTCTACTTGGCTGCTTTTGAGGTTATTGAACTATAAGGTGACACCTTCATCATGAGTACTTGACCTAGTTAAAAATGGCTGCATATATATAGATATAAAACCCTAGGACGATGAAATACGAGCATTGTTTTGTACTGAACAGGTCAAACTATGCATGATCAAATGAGCTTTTGAGTTATATATATATGGTGATCACATGTATGCTTACTGCGTGCATGCAAATTTGCAGAAAGATATGTGGAGCGAAGAAGAAGACAAAATACTAATCGAAGCCCATAAGCAAATCGGGAACAAATGGGCGGAAATTGCTAAGATGCTGCCGGGGAGGACCGAAAACACGATCAAGAATCATTGGAACGCAACAAAGAGAAAGCAAAACTCAAAGAAGAAAACCAACAAAGACCCCAACAACAACATTAATCCCCCCGAGAGCTCTCTCTTGCAGGTCTACATCAGGAGCGTTGTCTCTTCTTCTTCTTCTTTTTCTTCTTCTTCTTCTTCTTCTTCTGCTACTACTCCTAAGACTTCTTCAGCTTCAACCGAAACGACCGAAACAACCGAGCAGAGAAACGCACTCTCATCTGATCACTCCAGGGGCTTTTACTTCAACCAAAACAATGCCGAGAGCGCAAACTGGGCCCTGACAGCTTATCATCCTGATCATATCAGTAATGAGACGTCCAATAATATGTACAGTCAGATGGGTGGTTCTGTTTCTAATTTGTTCAATTTTGAAAGTTATGGGTTTGGTGGATCTTTCTTGGTTGACCAGGTAACCGGGGTTGAGGAATATCGGGGCAGCAGCATGGAGGCTGAGATGCCGTTGGCGTTGGAGGTTAAGAGCCTGATGCAGGGCCCTGATGATGACCATGTCAAAAAGGAGATGGATTTGCTCGAGATGATTTGCCAAGGAAAGCTTTAGGCTAAAGCTTTTCGTGTTGTGTATGGGTGTGCCTAGCGACTTACAATATCCACAGGTACATGGGTGGTGTTGAATAAGAATGCCATGGCTAGAGGGACAAAGAAGAAGAAGAGAATCACATCATGTGTTTGTGTTTCTGTATGTTTAGGTTGTTGTGCTTAGATAAAGCGTACTTCAGACTTTGTATTTTCAGCTTTTTATATGGTTAGTTTGGAACAATTTTAGCTTTAATTAATTAGTTTTATATATGTGTTTGTCCAAATTTAGTATTATTTATATTTATGTCGATACTATATAAAGGAGCTAGGTTTTATATATATTAGCTAGAAATTATATTCTTTCTGATCGATTTTTGCAGTCTCGTAAATAGAATGTTAAGCTTACCATATTTTTATATCACATTATATACCACATATTTAATATCTAATAAAGGTAGAGAGCCCCACATTATATAATATCACAAGCAGTGTATTAGAAAAGGAAATGTGTTGAGCTTAACGCTTCAGAGGCATGTTGGGCATCGCCAATTTAGAAACCCTTGTGGGCCTCGCTAGACGTTTCGGTGCAAAGTGCTCTGCAAGGCCCATATGGAAAACCCATCTGCATATGTGGGTTTTACTATCATGAGCCTCAGCAATTGGAGAAATTGATGCAACCAGAACCCTCATATATTTTGCTCAGCTGGTGATGGTGTAGAGATTACCTTATTTTCAGGAGTGGTTGCGGTTCGGTAACCGCAAATTTTTGCTCAAACCGCAAACCGATCGACTATTTGCGGTATGGTGATTGCATACAATACAAGTACATGATGATGACAGATGAGAACTAATGATCTTTACAGTGGTTAAGAGCATTTACGTATGAATTCAAACTTATCCCTCCAATATATGTATATATATCTTTTGCATACAATACAAGTACATGATGATGATGACACAGAACTAATGATCTTTACAGTTGATGATTTTCGTTCTGCTTTTTTATTCCTTAATACAATCATTACACTTGTATAATTTATGCAAAGATTAATTGGGCTTTGGCTTTATTGTCTTTGCTCTTGAATACAAGAAGACTCCAACAAGAGCCAGACCAGTCCCTGCAATGCAATGGAAGCCAAGCCAGTCGTTATATTGATTAGAACAGAAATTAATCTTAAGCAGGCAATTAATGTATTGATAATTAAGGAAAGTGTGACTGACCGAGAGAATTTATGGGTGAGACGGGTGTTTGGAAGATGATGACTGAGGAGACAATCACCACCACACGCTTCACACAGTTCCCTACTGAGTGAGTCACCGGCGAAACCATCTCCAGTATCTTATAAGACACCTGCTTTGCTTTCCCCACAAAACAAATTAACTAATTACATACAAATAATTAAGCAATCACAAGTCACAACAAACAAACTCTCTGAAAAAGTGTCACCTGCTGATAAGTATGGAAGCAGAATCCAGCCAGAAGAGATCTCACGCATAACTCTCTGATATTCAATCCTTGGCGTGCCTGAAATTAAAGTAATAAACAACATGCTTACAATAATGAATGCTTCATGCTTCATGCAGGGAAGCTGTTTTGCTTATTTAGAACTGATGGTATTAGTAAGTAAGAAGTACTCACAGCTGAATGCAAGTATGCAGGAGTAAATTTAACGCCTTCCAAGAGAATCGCCGAAGGAACCAACAGGATGAAGGAAATGATAGTTATCACTGAGAAGAGATTGATATTGTCCAAAGATTCCTGAATTAGGAATCAAAATTCTATTTCATAAATTATTATATCATCTTCCATACGATCATATATATAACATAATAATGGCATTAGCTGGTGGAGCCATGTTTGGTTTCAAAGCTTTCTGTGAATGAAACAAAGAAATCCACATCAGCTGGTGGTTACTAATTTTACCTCCTTAACCATGAGCTTCTTGCTGAGTACATTACGCGATTGGTTAGTAAGATTAGAGGCCATTGCGCTGCTGAAACCAATCCTGTTTCAGAAATGGAATAATAGATAAAGCACTTGTAAGAACAAGCCAATGCAATGCAAGGATGTGCTTGTGAAAGGACTTTTGTTACCAATTAAAAGAGGCCTCGGTGAAGGATGCCAATCCCACTCCACCTACAATTGGCACAAGAGAAAAAACCACCCAGACAGTCGGCCTCTGTGTGCACAGAGCAATCAGCATGATCAATAAACTGAAAATCAAATAACTTCTTTACATCAACAACACTGCCTTTCGCTGATTGCGGGGACAAAAACTTGGAGAACAAAAACCCCTACCTCTGCAAGTAAGAGGGCAGAGAACAGGACCGTGAAGAAGGGCTCCATGGCTTTGATTGTGTGAGTGAAGGAAACGGCAACTTTCCCAAGACTGATGTTAGTCAATAGGTTGCCCATTGTGTGTGCCACAGCCAGCGGTACAATTGCTCCAAGCTGCAATCCAAGTCAATTAATTAAGCAAAAGGAACAAAATTATGTAAATCATGCAACAAATTTAAGCAAAAGTAAACAAATTTTATTTTGTGGCAAGAAGGAAGCAATAAGTAGGTACCTGTGAGCGAGTGATGTTTGGCCTGGGGTAGAGGTTAAAAGCCCACATCAACGAAATCATCACAGTCCCGCAGCCAAACTGAAACGCCGTCATCGTTGCTGGAAACGGATAGACTTTCAGAACCTATGAACAAGCTTTGGCCTTTAAGTTCTAGCTTTCTTATTTAGGCCAAAATCAATGATAATCTTACACCATGCTTTTTAAACAAGAAAAAGCAATTCAGAAATGAGGGAACATATATATAAAGGTAGAGCAATGAGCAGTGAACCTGTTTGTTGTAGATGTTGAAGTAAATATTCAAAAGGTACCAAATTCCAAACAAAGCACCAAGCTGCAAAGTCTTAACCATCCCCCTCGGATTCGAAGCCTCTTCAGCACTCTCGGGAGCAGCCCTGACCTTCAAATTATCATATCTTCCACTCAAGAAAAGGAAGGAAGCAGAGATTTTATTGAAGCTCGGAAAAGAAGAAGATGAAGAAGATGAAGAAGAAAATGTGTAAAAAAGTGTTTGCCATGAGAGCCTACGGACACAGGTGAGATTGTCAAGTTGTATCAAAGACGTTGAGGCCGAAAGTTGAGAGGGTTTAGGGATAGAGTTTCGACACGGAGGTTTGAGAAATGAGGTGGAAGGAGACAGAGCAAGCGCAGTGCCCTGCATCATCTTAGTTTGTGGGATTGGAAAGCAAGCAAGAGAGGGAGAACTTAAGTGTTTAAACGTTGCATGACTACAAAACTGAAAGATGACTGCGTTTCTTTCCGGTTTCGTGTTAATTCATTTTTGGATTGTGGTTGCTTAATCCGACTGTAAACTTGAATAACACAATTTGATATTAAAAAAACACAAGCGCTTGGTTTTGGCCCAGAATGAGTGAAATTAGTCATTGCAGGGTTTTGTAAGTTAGCACTGCGTGGTGTTAAGCTAGCAGTGGAATGAATGGATGGGATGGATCTCAGCATCCTGTGTACAAAATTCGCTGAGACAAACATGTGGCCTTAAGCGCTTATATTTTGAGGCTGACTGCCTTCTGAGAACCAATCTTCCACAATCCGCAATTTGGTTTTCTTTTATCGTTTACCATTTATTTTTCAAAATAATTGATGACTAAGATACTGAACCAAAAGCCACTGGTCTAAAGAAGACAACGATACTTGAGAAGGGGACAGAACAGAATGGAACTACGTTTCTGTCTAGATATTGAGTTTTACTACAAATAAATAATTCAGCAATTGGCACATCATAGTGATTACTTGGACTTTAGTTAACAGGGGATGGAAAGAAATCAGAAGTTCAATAGAGAGAATGTTCAAACTAAATAGCAGCTAAAGAAAACTACTATGCATACTATAATGTTTGGAGAATTCTTTCCTCGGCTCTGAATGCTTGGCATTTTCGCCTTGTGAAATTTGTGCTTAGTAGCCGTCTAATGTGATTTCACTCAAAACTTTCTAGTTAAAAAGAATTCCCCTTACAAAAACAGCACAAACAACAGAACCTTATCCCAACTATTTGGGGTATTCCCCTCACATAAGACGGGAATGAACCGGACTCAAGAATCAGACTCTATATCTCATATATAGATTAAAAATGCATACTTTATGAGAGGCATTTAAGTCTTGCAAATGTCAAATAGCCAGTGTGACCTTTGGCCTCGCTGCATGGCCTAGCCATGACTGTGGGAGGACCAGTAGTTTCTCGCACATTGCTTCCTTCATTTGATCGCTGCCGCCTTTTGCGTGGAAGAGATCCAAGAGATCCAAGAGAACCAGCTTCGTCACCCTGGAAGTCATCCAATTTCCCTTCTCGAACTTCATATGTCCGAAGGAGTATCTCAAATGTCCTTATATCTATACACAAGGAGAAGATACAGACCTTAGACGTAAAAAATAGACTTACATGCCCCATTAGGGAAGAAATTTAATAATAAAAATGTAAGAGAAAACACTTGGAAGAAGCAAAGTAAGTCCACAAGAACACGTAATACAAAGCACAAAGGAGATAGCTGCATCAAAGCCTACCTGTAAAGCTTGATCTCATAGTCTCTGACGCTCGTTCCACCTGCTCAATACATGGGGAGAAGGAGCATAATATCCCATCTTGTTTCAGCATTTTCCCAGCTGATGGGATGGCCAACCAGGGTTGGGGTAGGTCCAGGAAGACAGAATCTGCCATCCCAGAAAGTTCATCTGGAAATCCTTCACCCTGAATATCTCTAACTCCTACAGTGACCAAGTTGCTTAATCCCGTCTTCTCAAAATCCTCCCTATAAAAGTAAAAGATCATGTGAGCCTTTCAATAATGATAACCTTCTCAACAGAGGAAATAGCTTAATCTTAGTACGGAAGCCTGGTTTTGCAGAGAAAGTAAGCCACTGGTTTAAGTTTCTTCAATTTTAATTTGAGTAGACTGAGTTTATGTGAGGCTAAAACAACATGACGAAAAGTAAATCTAATTTGTACATATTCTGAACTCAAAGTTTGCATGTTTCGGAAGGCAAAGCCTATACAAATCTAATTTGTACATGGAAGGAGATACCAAAGCATGGAAACCAATTAACATTACAATAATAAGGAACAAGGAAAAAAGTGATCTCCACTTCTTACCTAGCAGAGACCGCCCTTTGCTCATGGAAATCAAATGTATAGACATGTCCTTTAGGAGCTACAGCCCTTGCAAGTGATGTAGTTAAAGATCCACTTCCAGTCCCTGACTCAAGAACCAAACAGCCAGGAACTATTTCCAAGAACATGATTACAAAGCTAATGTCCGCAATATAGAGAATCTGAGTCCTGTGGCTTAGAACCAAAGTCCAAAGTTCAGGAGTAGGAGCTAACAAGTAAACAAATCCACCCTTGTTGCTGAAAACCTTGGAACCAAATTGCTTTCCTACCCAGTCTGAATGTTTAAACACGCCAAACCGATTTTCGAGTACAGAACCATCACACACTTTAATAGCTTTCATGTTGTCATACCTCTCATAGACAATAACCAAATCTCCATCACGAATACAGCGAGTAAAAGATAACTTATTTGTTGAATCAATGGGCAACATCCTCAACCCTGAAATCGTTAATATGGATTTGAGTTTAACATTCATGGAAGTTGAGCATTTAGCATTATAACAAAAGCAAATAGTTTGTCCACAAGTTTCGTTTGTTCATCAATGTCGTAACAGTTAATTGTTCTCACTAAAAGGGAAACCTGAGTGTGTTAGCACATAACTAAAAGGGCACTCCTTTAACAAAAATATAAAAGGAGGAGCAAACAATCAAAACAGTTATCAATTTATCACCTGATAAGATTATCAAAAAGAGATAATAACAAAGCAGTTGAAGTAAAATTACAAAGTGCTTACTTCTGCAATCCACCAGATGTTGATATCCAACTCCTCAGAAAAAGAAGAGCCGAAGAAGGAGGACTGGGTAACTGGATTCACGTGGAGAGCTGAAGAAGAAGAAGAGAAAGAAGCATACAATCAAACAAGACAAAATGATTCGGTGTTTCAGCCTCACAGTCTCACACTGAACAAGAGCCGAAGAAAAAGAAAAAGAAGGGGGAGGGGAAGGCTGGATCGTAGGTTTAAGGAGCACTGGAGGTTTGGGCCTTCCGATTGGGGTTCTGAGTAGGTGAACAAAAAAGGGTCTTAGTCTGGGCTTGATGGTAGGTTTCAGCCCATGAAAATAGTAGGTTTCAGCCCATATGGCCCTTCTTTCATGGACATTGTAGCTCTGTATTTTGGAGGGTAATCTCTGCACTTTCCCCTTTTTTCTCCTATTAGTATCAAATCAAACATCAGAAAACCGAGTTGAAACCAACCGCTCTCTAATGGATTGAGCCAAAATGAGTTATCCACAAACCTGAACTTTAGCAGAGGATATATACAAGGAGCTGGCCAAAAGGGTCTCTCTTTCACACTTTACCATTAGCAGAGAACCATGCTTCAAATTTTGGGTCCGTTTGGTTGCTGAGGAATTGAAAGAAGAGTAAAATAGATTTAGCTGTCCTGAGAATCTTAGCCTTCTCTTAGCAACGAAACGACCCAAATTGGGTTATTGGAAGGAACTTCCCTTGGTATCTTAGTCCGTCTCACAGTCAGGTATGCTGCGTGCTTATATTTACTGTTTCAACCACAAAGAAAGTTACGAGTAACATCGTCATTGCTCTGGCAGGATGCAGCTGGAGGTTACGGCTGATACTACTAACCTGAGCTATTGGTTGAACTGGAGAGTCTTGCTATGTGCAATTTGGTTATTCACACCGATTGTTATAGCATTATTAATGATATGGAAATATGATGCTTCAGGCCATTTGAAATCTGACAGGAGAGAAACTCAGCAGGATGCAAATCAGGATTTATGCAGTGATAAAGCGTGGAAACCGTGCCTCAAAGAAATTCACCCAATTTGGTTGCTGATTTATCGAGTAACTGCATTCTCTCTGCTTTTGGCAACACTGATTGCCAGAGTTGTTATCAGTGGAGGTGGCATATTTTACTACTATACTCAGTAAGCCTTGTCTTATGTTTGGGCTCATCTTGTGCTATGCTTTGAATTCTGGGGTTATTTATAGATCCTGCAAAACCCAAAAAACATAAAAACTGAACCAGGTTTCCAGCTTAATTCGTTTCTTTCTAGTTATGTTGTTTTTTTTTTTTTTTTTTTTTGGTACTTCCATCTTCAGGATGTAATGTTTTCTGGATGCTGGACAGGTGGACTTTTACCTTGCTTACCATTTATTTTGGGGTATGCTTGCTTTCTGATCTTCATTTTGCCTTTCACTGAATCACCTCAATTAATTTGGTGGCATATCCAATGTCTATGTATTTCAGAATCGTATGATGCGATCATTTCCACACTACAGAAACTCCCAGTTTATCTGTGTTCTCAGATCTCTTTAGACTATGCTCAGAACTTCTTTCATCTTTTGCCTCTCTTTTTGTAGTGTGGATCTCTTCTCTCCATTTATGGATGTTGGTGGTACAATAAAATCAGCAGCATGGTTACTTCAGGCGATTATCTTGTTGGGACAGATGCAGAGGATGGAGCATACATTCCCCTTGAATACCAGGAGAAAGACTCAAATCCTGAAGAGGAAAGTTGTCTTCACCTAGCAGCAGCCAAATGCAGTTTTGTCTTTGAAGCTATGTTCCAGGTCCCTTTTTTCCCGAATGATTGATGAATGCAATAGCTTTTTTAATAAACTCATTATATATCTGTCTGGCAAGCTTGCTTTGTTAATGAACTCAATTGAAATCTATTCAGATGAATGCTGGGGCAGTGATGCTTACTGATTGCGTTTATTGGATCGTTATATTTCCGTTTCTCACCATCAAAGATTACAATCTGAATTTTGTAAGTAGCGCATACAAATTTATTGGATCGTTATTAGGCACCGAGAAGATATGGTCATGGATTATAGATTTGTAAGAACATAGACATTGTTTAGATCAAATATAGTTGATTCATCTGTACTGTTGATAAGTATGTCTTATTTTCCTATCTAGCTTAAGGTTTATACTTCTTGTTTATGTTCCCTTTTATGTCAGATGACCGTGAACATGCACACAATCAATGCCGTTTTACTCCTTGGCGATGCAATGTTGAATTGCTTGGTATGTTCACATTTTTCTCTCCCTCACTTTAAACTCATACAACATGTATCTATAGCTTCTTTCATGGTTAACTTTTTCAACTTTTGCAGCGACTCCCCTTTGTTCGGATATCTTTATTTATTTTATGGACGGGCGCTTTTGTCATTTTCCAGTGGACCATTCATGCTTTTGTATCAGTATGGTAATTTTGGTTATCCTTTTGTAAATGCATGACAAGAACTTGCATGTCCAATCATGTTTCATCATGTGATTGGTTGGGAATAGCAAAACAATATTATTCCCGTGATTTATAAGTTTGTCTCATACATCCATATCTACGAACATACTAATTTCATTATTTTTTTAAAATAAAATAAAACGTCATTGCTCACTTTGTTGCAGGTGGCCATACCCATTTCTTGACTTATCATCACCATATGCCCCGCTGTGGTATGTTTGTTATCTATCTATCTACCCATTCCGACATTATTTCTCATTACATTAGTGTATTAATGCATTTCATTTTGTGATACTGAATTGCAGGTACTTACTGATGGCATTGACTCATATCCCATGCTACGCTATCTTTGCCCTAATTGTGGGATTAAAACATCACCTCTTGTCAAAATGGTTTCCCCAGTCTTACCAGTGCTAGCTAAGTAAGAGAGATGAACTAAAGAACCACGTACTTAATTTTCCCCCCGTATCCAAAATTGTAGTTTTTCTTCATTCAATTTGATTTCTTTCTATTTTTCTTTTAAATTACTCCTAGTGAGGGGGATTCGAGCTTGAGTAATGAGTGCAAGGAGGTCGGCTTACTGTGTCCTTGCCCACTTCTGCACCTATTATACACCATCTTTAAATTCAATCTACAGCACACCATAATAACCAAGATGATGAATCTAAACCAAAGAACAGATCCTGGGATTATATATTCACAATCAAGAAAATTCAAAGACGCACATATATCCAAATCGAAACATCAAATTACCAAGCACTTTCAAGTTGAATGTGCGTTTTGATCTGAAAAGGTGTAACAGATCAAACAGAAGCACATAACTGAAATTATTATACTTTACTAATCATTCATCCAATTAGCCAACTCCTGCTTTAAGCAGAAGTTTTGGTAACAGCTCCAGCTTGAGACAACAGAGGCACCAGTTTTCCTTCCTTGTGCAAGGCAGTTGTTGCTGCAGAACATCATCATCAAATATACATTAACCAATGAGATAAAAAGACTTTTAATAATTTGGAAGGAAGGCACACAATTAAACCTAATCAATTAATAGCCATGGTCAGGGGGATTTTAAAATCTTACTGTCACATCCACCAATGTGGTTTCCACCAATGAACACATTGGGTACAGTCCGCTGGCCAGACCACTCACCCAGTGCTGATTGTATCTGAGCTCCATCACCTTCGAATGCCAAAACAAAACCACCATTTATAAATTAAAAAAAGCTCAAATAAAGCAAATACGTGAAACAAGTCCTAAACACTTCATATTTCATAACATCAAAACTAATTCCTAACTACTTGACCTAATCACCAAATTCAAGTTTTACCATGTCCAATCCAATCCAAGCATCAAAAGCGGGTGTTTTTTTTTCTCGTTGAGTTTTTTTTTCAATATTTAAATGTAATTAGCAACACACACACCCAAAAAAAAAAATACCCCATGATCAAATAAACAATGATACAAAAACTTCTAGCTTTTGCCGGGGACATGTTTATATACTCAACTCCAAACAAGGAGGACTAGATAAGATGTAGAATTATATACATATATATATATATATATTAAAAAAAAATTAAAAAGATTGAAAGGAGAAAGTGGAACTGACTCTCAGTGTCCAGCTCAATGGCCTTGAATTTAGCTCCCAATTGAGTCAAGAGCTGCTTCACGCTCACGCAGTAGGGGCAATAAGTCTTGCTGCAATTGCAAATTAATTTACAGATTCATAGCCTTTCTTAATTCTTAAAACAATAAACACACGCATAACAATTTATCAAAGTTCGATAAAAAGAACCTGAACACGACGACCGAATTGGACGACACGATCTCCTTCGCCTTTGTCAATGCCATAGCTCTCTCTCTCTCTTTCTCTCTTTTCGCAACCCTAAATTCCAAAATGCTCGCAATCGCGTTTCGGAAGATGCAGAGCGTCAGAGCGGTATATGTAGTGGGCCGCAGTGTGTGGATGATAGACAACCGACCTTGCACGTATGTCTTTGATTTTTCGTTTGCTTCTTCTTGTGGGCCGTAATGGGCTTTTTCTTTTCTTCTCTTCTTTCACCGTCAATGATTTGTGGTCAATATATTCGTTTGTAATGCCTGAAGTTGGTCGCTGTCCAAGATCACCAAATTTCACATATCCACTCTACGACGTCATAACGTTCGTCAGTGGCATTACCATGTCGACGACGTTCCGTAATTAAAAATCCAAATGTCTTTTATCTCTACCAATGGCTGACCATGTATCCAAGTTTTATTGAATTTTCAATAGAAGATTATGATGCAAATGGTGATCATGACGACATTAATAGCATAATCACAAACAGCGTCCGGACGAAGAAATCTTGAGTTTAATTGAAATATATAAACACAAGATTGAACGAGTGAAAATTGGTGGTGAAACAGTCGTTAAAAGTAAATTTGCTTATTGGCCTTGACAATGGCTACATTTATAGAAGGATTTATAATTCTAGTTTTTATCTCTGCGAATATGTTCCAGGGAAAAACCCCCCATCTCTAATTGAATCGCTAATTTTTTAAAATAAAAACAGATTCACATATTCCCACTGAAAAACTTTTCCTAAATGACCTTCTCTTATAGATTAGCATCGATATAGTTAAACCACAGCAGGTTCCAGAAGCTTTTGCTCAACATTCTTTGCGACAGCGTCAATAAATTCTTCGGTGTTCAAGTAGAACTCCCTCGATACCCTGCATGAAACATAAGCTTCTTAGTTTAGTACCCCAAAGATCCATCCCCTCTGGCTAAGTTAGTCACCTCCATCAGATGCACACAGACGAAGGAAAATTAAATTGACCATGTACAAAGATAATGCGGATGGTCTCAAACAGCAAATTCACGGAAGAAAAGCCAATTTATGCCGTTGCTTTGGACTGTGCACACCCCAACTACCTTGTTAAACAGAGCCAAGAATCTACTTACTTGGAACCATGGGTCAAAATGGCAAGATCCTTGGTCATTTTTCCTGCCTCCACTGTCTCAATGCATGCAGCCTCCAACTTTCGAACAAAATCCAGCAACCTATCATTTTTATCTAATTTGGCCCTGGAAACAGTAAAGATTTTTCAGGTTATCTGATGCAAAAAGAAAAAATGCAAGCCAAAATGATTTATCTAGTAGTTCAATCTTGAATGGTTACTGTTACACAAGGCAGATTGCCACTGTAAAGCACGTTGTCACACTTTATTAACACAGTACCTGTGCTCTAAGCCTCGTGTCCATGCAAATATTGAAGCAATACTGTTTGTACTGGTTTCTTGTCCATTTTGATGTAACCGAAAATGACGAGTTACTGTCCCATGAGCTGCTTCCAGCTTCTATTGTCTTCCCATCTGAGGATAACTGCACAGACACTGGTTAGAGTTTGTGGCATAGAAATAATGAAAGTTACTGTTGATGCATACACAAACAAACAAACACAGGCCAAGCCCAAGAGAAAAACCAATCCCCCCAAACCAAAAAAAAAAAAAAAAAAAAAAAAAAAAAAAAAAAAAACAGAACAAAAAAACAAATTGAACTCTGGATCGAGAGAGAGAGAGAGAGAGAGAGAGAGTTCAACAGCACCTTGAGCAAGCAAATCACTTTGGACATCTCCATCATAATTTTTGCAAGCCCAAACATAACCACCCTCACTTTTGAGTGCATAAGCCACCATGTCATCTATTAGCCGATGTTCATACCTAAATGCCAATAAAATCTTCAATTAATTATTTCAATATATGCCATGCAACAATGCATGATTCCATATTTACCATAGACAATACATACCATATAGAGTTTTCTTCAAACTTCTGCTTCCACTTCTCATCATAAACCTCCTCAAATATGTCCTTAAACCTGTGGCAGTCCTAGAACTCAACATTTTGTATATTTTTTCTTTAAAAAAATTAGGCAAAATTATACTTTTGGTCCGTATAGTTTAAGTCTGGTTCCGCTTTAGTCCCATTAGTTTAAGTTCAACATATTTACCTTATAATTTTCTAACGCTTTCATTGTGGTCCAAATTTTCATTTCAGTCACAGTGGTTGACAGAAAACGTGAACGTTTACTTTAGATTTGTCAAGGCAGAAAGAGCAATGTGATAGAAATGTAGAAACAAGCCATGATGAAGGGCAAATTCATCATGTTTTGATAATTTCTGTCTACCACTGTGATATAGCTATAATTTTTTGGGCCTCATTGAAAATGTTAGCAAACTATAAGGATAAATTCACTGAAAGTAACTATAAGGACTGAATAGAATCAGGCCTAAACTACAGGACAACATACTTAAAGAACAAAAAAGAAAGAAGAATTGAAAATTGGATTATTCCAACAAAAGTAAATTTACCTGCCATCATATTTCTTAAGAATTGTGTTTTTGGTGCTCAAGTATAGTGGCCACTTCTTGGAAAATGCGAACGACATTGACGAGTCAGCAAAAGCTCGAATAGACTAACAGATTATACAAGAGTTTGTTAGCAGAGTTGATCAACACAGTTGCCCACAAAGGTATGGTGTGTCCAAAATGTGGTAAGGCAAACCTCATCAACGTTATACATAGAAAGGGCCACACCAGGCCCTTTGAAATCATAAACATCAAGTTCCACAGGGGCATCCCCTCCTTCTGGGACTGAGCAACAGAGACAGATAGATGTCAAAACCCGTGTTTAATAGGAAATTACTACACCAGCTCAATCATATGACCGTGAAATCAACTTACCAAAAACCATTTTAAGCTTTCCCGGCCCCTTAATAACTGTATCAGTGGCTCGATACTGATCACCAAAGGCATGCCTACCAATACATATGGGTTTTTTCCAACCTGAGAATTGGACAAGTATTGAGCAGTTCCAACAATATGTTACTAACTTTGAGGATTATAAAAGAGTCCAAACTATTACCAGGAACTATTCTAGGGATGTTTCTGCATAGGATAGGTTCACGGAAAACAGTACCTACAAGATCAAGCATAAAAATTTATATTTTATTATAAATTGTTTGAAAAATATTAGGGAAAGAGAAGCCTCATAAGAAAGTCAAACTAGGCTATGTACATAGACAGGTCATTTTAATGGTTACCCATATTTAAAAGAAAAATGAACAAGATGAAACAAGTATAAAGCAACTGGAATGAAGCTGGGACACTTAAATAAGAAAACTGCTTCCTCACAAAATCTGTGCACAACAAAGCTTAATGAGCTGTTGCAAAGAGACTACTGTAAACTTGCATTACAGTAGCTACTATCAGAAACCACTCTAAGAACTCCACTGCAAGAACTCTTGGTCACATATTAACTCTGATACTTGATGTTTAAACCCAAAAGAAAGACCAACTTTCCAACAGTGAGGTATGCCAACTAAAACTATTATTGAAATGAATGAGTAAGTAACAAAACTAAGAGCATTAGAATTCTGGTTTGAATTCAAAGGAGAAAATTTATTAGATACAAACCGTTTAGAATGTTTCTAATTGTGCCATTGGGACTCCTCCACATTGATTTCAGCCCAAACTCCTTCACTCTGGTCTCATCTGCGAAGTATGAGAACCTGAAATTAGATGAAACAGAACTACTATTTCCATAAGATAACAGTTAAAATGTCCTGCGAGAACAGAGAGATCATCTGTTTGCACATCTTTTGGAAAGGGTTTGAGCATATTGAAATTTTGAACACAGCCACAATGTCCCTTGGAAAGGGTTCAAGTTTATCATGGTAATATAGACAAACACAGAATTAAGGAAAAACAAAAACAACTAACCAGGAGTTATTGTAGCACATTTCACGGCAACATTGTACCTGAAGAGCAAAAACGTTTAAATAAAACAAATACGAGAAGCAAATTGCTAATCATTCATTAATCCCTTGAATTCAGAAAATTAAATTAAAGTGAATCAAACTACTTACTTAAGAGCGGCTTCAGCACTCTCCACTGTAACTCGGTCATCAGTAGCATCACGGTTCAAAATTCCTAAATCATAATACTTTATATCCAAATCCAGATGGGGAAAGATAAGCTGCAATTGCATATGACGGAAAAAACCCCCATTAAATTAAATCAAATTCCACAATAAAGCATTAGTAAAGTGAAATTCACATTGAAATGAATCTTCTGACTTTATCTTTAATCGTTTTCCATATGATCCTCGTCATTTCATCACCTAATTGGAAAAATAATACAATAATCAATACGGTAGATAAGCACAGCAACAATTAAGTTCACAGAAAACGAAACTGCAACATCCTACAAGTTATGCTCCGTTTGGTAGCTGTGAAAACAGAGTTATTAAAAAGATTGAAAAAAAATATATTCATTATCTGAAATCTTATCATCCTGACGACTCAACTGAACTTCATTCAACTACTTCGCATTGTATAAGTTTTCGCATAAATCGAAACCAACATTCGTATTTTTCCTGTGCTTTCTCATAAACCAAGCAGAGCATCGCTAAATAATAAAGCACTATGGTTGTAGCATTTAGGGAACTGACCGTCCATTTCAACAATAGGATTCTGAACCCGAATTTTATCAAAGCCGGGGGACGAAGCGTAGCATCGCAACGAAGTGTGACTAAAGCGAACGGAGAACGAAACACGGTTCCCAACAGGCACTCCATTGAAGAGTCTCGGGGACGAAGAGAAGGACAAGCTAGGGTTTCTCATGGCTACAGAGGACGAAGCTGACGACGATATCATCGCAGCGCGCGACATGGCGCTCAATTGCAGTCTCGCTCTTAGCATTCAATATATATTTATATGAGTTTGCGTTACGAGTTGCGACTGCGAAGATGCTTTGCTCGAACTCCAGAATTTGATCTTACGCTGCGTTTGTCTCTATAGAAATGAGCTCAGCTCTAGTGCTCTACTTTTTTGTTACCGTTTTCATTTGATCGTGTTGAGTCTTTGAGTAATTACATCGGACGGACGAGAATATTGAGACGATGATTCGGTGTGAGCGTCAGCATCTGCCAACGGGCTGGCGGGCTGGCGTCGTGGTCCCAGGTCTAAAAGGCCTATCAATAAGCATTGGGCTCGACAATCACTAGGCCCGCACAGAACAACCCGATGCCTGACTTGCAATTTTTTTATTTTTACTATAACAATGCGATATTCTAAATTACCCTAATTTATAAAGAAATTTTTGAACTCGGGGTATAAAGCCATATGCACACGACCCTCACTAATTGGCCTAAGCCGCATCTGCATGCATGATTTGCAATATACAATCTTCTCGCTAATTGGCCTAACCCGCATCTGCATGCATGATTTGCAAGATGCAATCTTCTCGCTAATTGGCCTAATCCGCATCTGTATGCATGATTTGCAAGATACAATCTTTAAATTTGGGCTAATTCTATAATAAAAAAATCGATTATTAAGTATAAAATATATATTTTTTAGGTTTCTCTCGTCTTTAAGAAATGTTGAAACTATATATGAGATTTTTAAATTTCACATATATATGTGTTGGTATTGTATTTTGGGAACGTGAAAATATTGATTTCGCATTCTTTCAAATTGAATTGTAATTTTCCAATAATAGCTCAGTTTTCAAAATCATATATATCTTTGGAATATTTTCTTCCCTTTTTCTGAATAAAAGAAGGCAGTCTAGTGACATGTCTCTTTACAGTCCCACCAACTGTATCTGTCTCAGTTGATTTGATAATCCTTCCACCCACCTATAAGGACGCCTGAGAAGGGAAGAGAGAGAGAGAGAGAGAGAGAGAGAGAGAGAGAGAGAGAGAGAGAGAGAGAGATTTATGAAGTGTGGTGTAATCCATAATTTGCATTCACCACTTGTGTGAAGCAGCAGCACAAAACTGGAGTGTAGCTTAAGCGAAAAATATGAGGTACAACAAATCAAAACTTGCAATTTTGATCGTGTTTGTGCTATTATTGGAAGGGGTGTTAATGGTACATGTTAGAACCAAATCCAAGTTGAAGCAACATTCTTCAAGGCCAAGCTCATCATCAGGGAGTGTTTTCTTCAAGATATGGAACTTCAACTACAGAAGCAGCAACGAGAATAGCTCTGGGAATGGCAGAAACTTAAAGTTGAAGCACAGAAGATTTAGCAACCATGGCTTCTTCAGATCACTCCCAGCTGCTGATGAAGAACAGAAGAGAATCACACCAAATGGTGCAAACCCACTTCACAACAGGTGAAGGTGAGTTCACTCAAGGCCCCAGCTGGGCCTTGACTTGAACAGCAGCATGGTTGCTCAGTTTTCATGCTTGAAAGCTCCTTCAGCTTCTGCAGCTATGATCATTCTTATATATGTCTGACTTTCTAGCAATAACTTGTTTTGTTCCATTCTAATTGTACTCTCTCTGTTTATATTTATTTTACTTCCAAGTTCTGTTCTTTTAATTATTACAGTTCATTTAAGTTTATTGAGAAAGATGACATACATAGATGCTATGAGAATTTATTTTCTTTTCCTTTCCTTTTTGGACCTGTTCTTGGATTCTGGACTTCATTCTTGGCAGAGACAGGACCAAATGGAACAATAAATGAATGGAAGCTTTGCATTTACATGATCAAAAGAAATGTTTCTAGTAAGTAATCAATCTTTTTGTGTTGTTGCATAAAGATCAAAGCCCCACCACTGGCACTGTGGCAAAACTGAAAAGTTGGAAAAAAAAATGCTGCAAAAAGAAAAAAAGAAAGAAAGAGTGAGTTGTCACAAACAGCCCTTTGATTGAGATGGAAATTTGATTAGAGAAACCTTTAGAAATCAGAGAAAAGGACATAAAATTAAACAAGAAGATGCCAAGAAAAAGGTCCTTTGGTTGGTCTGACAGTTCACTGGCAAAACAACAAATCCAAACTCCCTTTTGCTGCATGTAAAAATGTGTGTGAGGTGAGAGCAGCAGCACCAAAGGAGATATCCTTTTCCCAACTGTGGATATATATATTTACTATCTCTCTGTAGCCGCCAGCGGAGAGGGACAGTGACACTACCCCACAGAATTGCAATAATACAAACAAAGACAGACATTCTCTTGGGCTCGTGAGTTTGCAAAAATCCAGCAAACCAGAGAAACCCAGTTATCACAGAAAAAGACCCAACAACAGAAATGGAACAAATGAATTCAGCAACAAAATGGGCTTTTGCTTTTTTATTTTTCTTGGATTTTCACGGGTCAGTCTACCGGGAGGTTCTTGTGGCCTAGATTCGTTTTCTCCTTATTGTCATGTGATTCCAACTCCAGATATATAGCTTCTCACCTTGTCCACTGTCCAGTAGCTTTTGTTTACTCTTTGCTTCACCACGTGGGAATGCTCCATTTGTAGTTTTTTGTATTTCAAAATTTTACATCTTTCTCTTTTCCGAATAAGCACAATTTATGTTTTATTATTATTTTTAATTACAATGAAACACACATTGGTTATGTAATATTTGTTTGGTTGTTTCTTCTTTTGGGTTGGAATAGAAGCTTTATTCACTAAGCATACGTACATAAGCAGATACATTGCGTATGGGTATTTCGGAGAGTTTCATCCTGTACCCAAACATAAAAGATTATGAAATATAAACACATTATTTGACCGGCTATTGCAAGAGGATGTAGTTAAGAACAGTTATTCACTCGATATCATGTCTTCGAATTCTTCCTCACAATATGCCTTGTATAAAAAGTGATAAATAAAACATGTTTGTTATGTAATATTTTAGTAAAACTTTTTAGTATGACGTTTTTATTTTTATTTTTTATAAAGATGAAGCTACCACGTTCAAAACAAGCGGGCCCAGAACAATTGTCTCAGATTCATCTTAGTTTTGGGCCTTCTGATCAAATTCAGGCCCTTTTTGATAGATCATTTTCATTTCGACAGTCCAATCCGTTAATAAACAGGCTAGCTTAAACAGTCTATTTTTCTCCTCCTTTTTTGGGGGTAAAACTTTTCACTTTCCACTCCCTCACTTATCAGTTTTCGATCCCGCGCTAAAACTCTTAAACCCTAAACCCTCGACAGCTCTCTCTCACTCTCTCTCTCTCTCTCTCTCATTTCCACAACCGCCATGGCGTCCATGGCTAACCGAGCCAATCCACTGCTCAACAATCTCCCTCACTTTCTCACATGGCGAGCCCTAGGGTTCCGAACAATTTGCAGCGGCCGCATGGGCTTCTCGTCTCAGTCGCAGCGGCAACTCGATCCTGAATCCCCCGTAGCCGGCACCAAGGTACTCGAGACTTTCAAAGAAGAATTTGAAATTGGAGATCGTTTAATTACATTTGAATCCGGAAAGATCGCTCGCTTCGCTAACGGAGCCGTCGTTTTAGGCATGGAAGAGACCAAAGTCTTATCCACCGTGGCCGCTGCCAAAGGCGATGCCGTTCGCGATTTTTTGCCCCTAACTGTATGTCTCTAATTAAACTTACATTTTCGTATTAATTTCTTTATGTCGAATGCATAAATTCTTCAATTATTTGAAGTTTCACTGATCGTAGTAGCAGTTAATGGGTAAAACTTCTATGTGATAATATGGCGATTATAATTCTAGTAAGAGCCTCTGTTTCAATACGGTCCCTTTCATGCGGTCATGTTCTTTTTGCATGCTTGTTTATTAATCACCTTGTGGTTCTTATTGCATTTTGGCGTATTGCTTACTGTAAGGTTGATTATCAAGAGAAGCAATTCGCCCAAGGTGTTATTCCGAACACATTCATGCGAAGGGAGGGAGCGCCAAAAGAGCGTGAACTCTTGTGTGGTCGAATCATTGATCGACCAATACGTCCCCTATTTCCTGCTGGGTTTTACCATGAGGTTCAGGTATGGTGTTATGGTTTAGGTTCAGGTTTAGGTTGTTTTTTATATTTATGATTGGTACTCTTTTGCGGCAATAATGGTCTCTGGTCTCTGAATATGCATTTCCTGATGTTCATACATAGGTAACAGCGAGTGTTCTTTCCTCTGATGGAAAACAAGATCCAGATGTACTGGCAGCTAATGCTACATCTGCTGCACTTATGTTATCAGATATTCCTTGGGCTGGCCCCATTGGAGTGATTCGTATAGGCAGGATTTCTGGGCAGTTTATTGTTAACCCAACTATGGATGAGGTAATGCTTACTAGTGATTCTTTTCTGTCTTTCAGCCGCCAATGTCCACATATTCACTTGTGATCGTTTTTATGCCTCTAAATATTTTTTTCACAGAAACTCACTTCATCTGATTGGTCCTTATTGTGTATAAATGCAGCTTAGCTTAAGTGATCTCAACTTAGTGTATGCCTGTACGAGGGACAAAACCTTAATGATTGATGTGCAGGCTCGTGAGATCTCAGAAAAAGATCTAGAAGCTGGGTTAAGATTGGCTCATCCTGAGGTAAGTCATGAAACCTGCAACGATTTTGTGAAGTCTCTTTATTTATGGAATTCTACTAAGAAACTGGACTGTGATTTCAGGCAGTTAAGTATATTGAACCTCAAATCAAACTGGCTGCTAAAGCTGGTAAGCACAAGAAGGAATATAAATTGTCAATGATGCCAGATAGAACATTGGAGAAAGTCGGTAAATTGGCAGAAGTTCCTATAGAAGCTGTTTTCACTGATCCTACATATGGCAAGGTTCATGTCATCTTTATGTGTACATCGTCTGTTTCTTTTTGAATTCCTTCTCTTCATGCATGGTAATTCTGTACTGTGTCTTCTTTTGGGTTTCAATTGTGGAATACTTTAACTTCCAGTTTGAACGCGGAGAGGCCCTAGAGAATATCATGCAAGATGTGAAAAAAGTACTTGAAGAAGAGTGTGATGAAGAAAGCTTGAGACTTTTACCGAAGGCAGTAGACACAGTGAGGAAAAAGGTAAGCCATGCCGAAATGAAGCTAAACAGAATTCAGTATCTTTTTCCTTGTTTTGATTACTTTCATATTGTATGTCTGTGTGCATCCTTCACCTTAGTCGTATCATTATCTTCAAGAACCTCTACATTTTCCATTATACTTAACAAGTTACGACCTATTATATGATAAATGGAATATGGCATTTGGAAATTTGATTTTGGGATAGGGATTTATCTGAATTAGGTAGTTAGGTTTTCTATTAGGAGCTGCCGACTGACTCTCTTTATTTTCTTAGTTGTATTCTTCTGGCACACACACACACACACACACACACACACACTCTCTCTCGCTCTCTCTGGAATAGGCACATTTTCTCTTTTAGTTCTCACATCTTTCATTATGATTAATGAAAAAAATATTAGGTTGTCCGTAGAAGAATTATTGTGGAAGGATTCAGACTTGATGGGAGGCGTCTTGATGAAGTTAGGCCTTTGTATTGCGAAGCTGGTAATTTGCCTATGCTGCATGGATCATCGCTTTTTAATCGTGGAGACACACAGGTCAGTATGCATTTAAAATACTGGATTTTGAAGTGTTTAAAACTTCATTCCAACTCTCGGTACATATTTGGTGTTACACACAGGTTCTTTGTACCGTAACACTTGGGGCACCTGGTGATGCTCAACGCTTGGAGTCTATTGTTGGTCCCCCAACAAAACGCTTCATGCTTCACTACAGCTTCCCCCCATTCTGTATAAATGAAGTCGGTAAACGAGGTGGCTTGAACAGGCGTGAAGTTGGTCACGGTAATCATTGCCTACTCGCTAAATGGAGCAATGTGATTTTAATTTTTCACTTTGCCTTTTGGGTCTGCTCTAAACTTTGGGCCTGGTGGTTGCTTGAGTTTACTTTTTTTTTAAAGCTTTAATAACTTTTTGAATTTATGCGGCTGACTTATACCTAGTTTGTGTTTTCTAAAGCCCAAGTAAGAATGCAATTGCTATAATAGGATTGTACATATTTCATACATAATGGTAATATGGTATATGGTTTGTATGGGGTCATGAAGCCCAAGAAAGAAACAGTGCCACATGCATCTGAAAGTGATGCTACTGCATCCTTTTTTGGAGTCTGATGGTTGCAATAACCTGTGCCCACGTCACACTTGATTTAGCAACTATCTAAATATGTATATTGTTTGCCCTGTTGATTTATTTCCATTTACCAAAGCAACAGTGGGATCTAGGCTCACTTTAAACTGAAGTGAGATGCCTGTGATGTTTTACATAAATGGATTTATTAATTGTAGTTTTCAATCTAGCATCAGGCGTTTTAGGACCTAGATAAGTGGTTTAGGATATAGATAAGTGA